CTTCCATCCAGGACAAGGAGCAGCCACACACATTCTCTAGCTGGCTGGTTTTCCCACAGTGCCCCGAGGATGGTCTGTTTTGAAAGACACCCAGAGCTGGACAGACGGCCCTTGTTTCTGCAAATGTTCTATGCTCTCTCAAGGTTCCTTGTCATTTCCATCTGGGAGGTCTGCACTTCCTCTGGCTGCTTTACATCCTGGCTGGAGGGAAGGTCTTGCTCACGTCCTAGTTCCCCGTCTTACATCCATGTCACTGCTCCCAAGCACAACCCACTCTGTGGAGGACCGTCCTTTCTGAAGACATTCCCCTGTGACAGGCATGTCCTTCTCTTGGTCCTCTTGCCCTCATACTGCTTTGTGCCTTACTCTCTGACTCCATCAGCAAACGGTCTGATTGTCTTGAGTATTGAGCAACATGGAGACACTTTCTGATATTACTAACATTTCATTTATACTGAGAAATGCACTATGCTAGGAGTCTTGCATTGCCTTCTTATTCCATGGATGTCATCAACTCATGGCCATTACAATGTCGGTCAGATTTCCAGCAGCCCCACATACCTGTGCTGTCCAAAGTCCATGTGAAGGTGGAAGAGGGGATGAAGTGTGGGTGTGTGATGAGGTGACACAGGCCTGGGGGATGCCTAAGAGGCAGGGGAAGCTTCAGGAACAGGAGACATGCCTTCCCTAGTTGCCAATTTTTACTGTTGGATGAACACCCCGTTCCCCCACATTTTCCATTTCCAGTAGAAGAAAGATGATGAGGAGAAGGGAAAAGAAAGAGGCATGGACTCATCCACAAACCAACCTGCTGTGCTGTCTACCTGTGGGTTTTCAGCCATCCTTGTCCTCACACATGTTTTTGGAGACGTGGGTTACACCACTGTACCCTTTTCTCAGAGACCAAATGGAGAATGGCTTGAGCCAAGCAGTTATTTCTCCCCAAAAGGAAGTCTCAGCAGCAATTTTTAGCTATCTTACCTTTTCAAGCAAGCTTCCTCACTCCTAGGAAACCCGTGTCTAGCACTTATTAGTTCTGCAGGATGGATACAAAAACCTTCCAAAGCATTCACCACAAAGGCAAAGTAATACATCATGCACGTGTGCGCTCACACACACACTGAATGAGAAGGCTCTTAGGCGGCACACGCCATGGAAATTTATGTCCACTTGGGGAATATATTATCATTTCCTGCCTGCCTCTGGTACAGGTTCTTTATATTAACCCAGTTACTATTCATATGCCAACAAATGGAGTTGATGAAAACCATTTGGCAGGAAAGGAGAGGAGATATGCAGATTGTGGGGGAAGTCACCTAAAATCTAAGGGCAAATCCTCGCAAAGCCTCTGTATGCTCAGAGTGTCCAGTGGGGTGACCTCCTTACTCAAGGGTTACACCCAAGCAAACAGTCCAAGAGGATCTGTGAGTGGACACTTTCAGCCAACTGAGAACAATCATCCAGTGGCTTTCTAAGTCTGTACATTTGGAACCTTGCTAACTTTTTGAAAAATTGTGCAAAAAATGTCATGTTGAGAAATTGCTGAAAGTCTAACATTGGAGCTGGTGGAGGGAAAGAATCATACAAAACCATCCATAGAAGGCCCTAGGAAATCAATTACTAATTTAAATGCAAATTCCCACCTAATGTTTTAAGGAAAAGCTTTAAAAATGGTTCTCCTTATTAATATCATTTATATTAAAATATACATGCCTGTCTTTCAAGACTCACAGGTCTAAATTACATCTCAACGACATGTGCTTATGCCAGGCATTTTCCCTACTTGCCTCTGGGCACAGAGGGGTGAGGAAGGTGATCTCTCAGTTGGCTTAGCACAGTGCCCTGGTGCCAATATGCCTGGAGCTAAACCTTACAAGTGGCCAACCTTGAGGGCAGCTCCTCTTACAGAACACTGTATGTGGATTTTGTCAGACCCCAGGCTCGTTTAAGCCTCCCTACTTGCAAATTAAACATAAATCCATTTTGGGGACTCATTGGATCATGAGTGTTTTCATTTGCCTTTTTTATGGATCTTACAAGACAGTCTGGATAGTTCAGAAAATAATAGCATTTTCTAAGGACTTTCTGATGTTAGGGTGCTGTAAAGAATAAACTGCCTCTCACAAGAAGCCCTCCTCACTTAGTGAACTCCCCAATGCCTCCTCTATCGGGATGATAACACCAGGCTAGAAGTCCTGTAGAGAGTCTGTGTGCCTCAACCCCTGGAGACCTGAGCCTCAAGATGGATGTCACTTTGCCTTTGTTCCCTGCTGGCACAAACAACCCCACCCCTCAGAGCCATCAGGCTGCAAACCCCTGATTCCACTCTGTCACATAGCACCCGGAATGGGACAGGGGACTCCCTGGGTCTGTTTTCTTTTCTGAGTCTGGCAAGAAGGAAAAAAATCAATCATACATGAAATACTGATTAAATACTATGGCCACCTGAGCAGAGTTGGTGTCTAAAGAAGCATAGGTCCCTTCCTCCGTGAGCTGGTGATGAAGAGTGAAATACACAGCATGCTGGAGAGGAGCATGTAGGATCACGACAAGTGCCTTAGGGGCCAGGGAAGACCTGGAGAAGATTTTTTGTGAGTCAGGACCTGAAGGAGGTTTGTCCTGAGATGGCTACAGGAAGAGCTTCCCTTGTGAAAGAACACCAAGGGCAAAGGTCAGGAGGAAGAGCAGTGCGACAAGAGCAGAGGAGAGGAGGAGGAGAGGAGGTCAGAGGCAAGACAGTCTAGGGAAGGGGTTGACAAACTATGGCCCATCTGTCACATGTGTTGTGCCACTTGCTTTTGCAAATAGTCATATTGAAGGCAAGGTGCCGGAACTCTATGGTCTTCATAAAGACCCAGACTCCTTTCAACTTTATGATTCACTAGCCTCAGCATGTGGACATGAGGTGTCATGATCTCAAAATAGTTGCCAATGCTTCAGACATTACACATTATATTCACATTTGAAATAGGAAGGCAGGGAAAACACCTGTTCTTTCTACCAGAAAGGCAAAAGTTGTCTTCATGCTCTCTCAAATTTCTACTTTCCACCATATCTTCCCCTATCTCCAGAATTGTCAGGGCCACTTCTAGCTTCAAAGAAAGCTAGAAAAACCTCTACAAGGATTTTGACTTTGGTCCACAATGAGGAACACATTTTATAGCACAGCCTAATAAGTATAACTGAAGCATAAATAAAGCAGGCAAAAGATTTATAAAAGCACAACTCACATTTACAATGTGTACTGTATCCTGATGTTTTCTCATCCGTTTTTTATGCACACCTCACATCATTCACTAAATTAACCTCATGACTCACTATCAGTTCTAAGTGTAGTAAGAAAACCCAAGCAGTCATGAACCATCTCTAGCCACCCACAAATCGCTGCTCCCAGTCAGGTTGGTTTCCTCTCTCTCACTGCTTTTCTTTCACTTTCCCTCCCTCCTTCCCCTCTTTATTTTTCCAAAGAAAAGGAATAAATATTGGGTTGGCAACTAGCAGTATGCATGGCACCCACTATAACTGAAGGAGAGGCCAAAGGCAGTACTGAAGGACACAGAGACTCTCCTTCTGAAGGAACTTGGGGCTCTGTGATGGAGCCTGGAGTTCTTCTGAAATGCAAGCAGCAGCCCCAGGCCCAGGCATGCAGCCGGAACTGCAGGATCCCTGAGGCAAGATAGCTTGCTGCCCCAAACCTGATCCTGACTCCAGACTAGGTGACAGCTTTAACTGGGGCAGGGAGAATGACTCACACTGGACAGCCCCTGGAAACTACCTCACCAGCACCTGATACTTCTCCTACAGGAATGAAAGCTTAGGTTGTGAGTTATGCTGAATTTTACCCACTGGCATTCAAAAAAAACCCTTTTCGGAGCACCCAATTATTGGTCTTAACTCTGATGAGGTTTGAGCTTTGGGCTGTGGAAGGGAAAAATGTATCCCAGTGGGAGGCCACCAAACACAGAGACCCCTGAGCTGGTAGAGGATGGAGCATTCTCCAATAATACAAGCAAAGGCAGAGGTGGGAGGGAAACCAGGCTGATAACCTTTGCCCTCTCACTTTTTTGCAGATGGGGAAACAATCCCAGGGGCTTGCATCAATGCACAGGAAGTAGATGCAGAGCCCAATCTCTTTGCCCCAATCCAGCAGCCAGAAGTTAGGACAGGGCCACTGAATTGGGGTCCAGGGCCTCATGGACTCAAATCCCAGACTGATTTTTGCATGTGTGAGCACCTGCAGTTTTTTTTTTTTTTTACAAGATCCACATCAGATTCTAAAATGATCATGTGAGCCTAAAAAGATTAGAAAAGGCAGACTGAGCAAAGCTAAAATGATTTACGTGGGGGTTATGGGAAGACTGGTGAGGATTGGGAACGTAAAATAAAACAGAACCTGCAAATGTTTCCACAGCCCCTGGCCTGCCCTCCAAACCCTGAACTTTTTGTTTTTTTTATTCACCCGATGGATTTCTTAATGTAGCATTCTAAGGGGCCTTGCCAAGCAACAGCCAGACGCCACAAGGTGACCCGAGAACAACAAATGACAAATGCTCCGGGCTTTATTGACAAGTGTCTCCGCCACACCCCATTCTACTCCGCCCCCCCACAAGACGCGCACAGAAGTAATGGCAGCGCCTTTGTTGGAAACCCAAGGATCCACATTACCAAGGCTCCCAGGACTCCGCCCGCAGACCCGGCCCTTCGGGGCCAGTCGGGCTGCCGTCTCCGCGCGTACTGGGCGCCCTCGGTGTCGGGGAAGACCCGGCAAGCCGAACGCAGAAGCCCGCAGCCCAGCCGGCCAGTACTCCTGCAGCGCTGGGAGCCAAGACTCCCCACGCGCCCGGGCGGAGCGGGGCGGGGCGCATGGGCGGTGCTATTGGCCAGTTAGTGTAAGGGGCGTGCCCAGGGCGGGAGGGCCGGGCTGCACCATTGGCTGTGCGAGCTAAGGGGCGGGACGAGGACGGTGAGGGGCGGGGCGAAGGCGGGCACGACAGAGGCCAGGGCAGCGGGCGCTGCGGGCTCAGCTCCCACGGTGGCGCAGCTCTGGAGCAGACCAAGCCTCCGCACCGGCAGTGACTTCTGGATCGCGCGATGACTGGACGGTGAGTGATGCCGGTTTAGGAGTATTAGTGGGCGTCCACAGAGCACCCCATCAACAGACCCCGGGGCCCCCACCAGACAGGGGCGCTGGAGCTTGGGCATTTGTGCCCTTTGGCCGCCCCACGCGAGTCTCCTCCCCCTGCCAGCCTGGCGCATTGCGGGCTGCGGTCTTAAAGCGGAGAGAAGGCACTGCGCCTGGCTCCTCCTGCAAGGGAAATGCGCTTTAATGGGCTCAAATCTTAGCGAGACAGGTGGGCACAGTTGCAGGTTACACCCGTGCCCGCCTTGTCCCTCACTTCAGCCAATCTCCCAGAAGCATGGATCTTAGATGGGAAAGAGAGCTTCGAAGCGCTCCTGCACAACTCTGATCTCACAGATGGAAAACCAATGCCAAGATAATGGCAGGAGGGACTTGTCTTACAATCGCTGTTTAGGTAGGGTTTGTTTTGTGCCAGGCGTTGTGCAAAGGGCTTTAACACTATATACCACTCCTCACGGCACAGTGAGGTTGGTGCTTTGCTTATCCCCGTTTACAGATGAGAAACTGAGGCTTAAAGAGTTACAATATTGTCCTCCTTTACCCAGGTGAGTCTGTGGTAGAGCCTGGATTTGAAACCAGGACTGGCTGTTCCTCCAGGTCTTTTGCACTTTGCTCCCTGGCTCAGAGCTCACCCCACATGGTGCCTTGCTCTTCCTGTGTCCTGCTTTGTCCGTGCCCCCTACTACTGAAGGAGGCCTCCGTGTTTTCGTTCTTAAAACACTGTAAGGAGAGCTTTCGAAACCCCATCTCACATGGGAATTAAATGAGATCACAGAGCAAGTAAGGGCTAGGGTCCTGGAATTGAAACCCAAGCAGGTTAGACTCCAAAGTCATGCACCACATTGGCAGAAGAGTGCTTTTCTATTTTCACTGTAGTTTAACTTCCCACTGCACTAGGTATCAGAATCTGTTGCTAGAAACCATGAAAATAAAGAAAACGGTAAGTAAATTGTAGAACTAACAGGTAAATGCAGACCTGCCTGCCTCCTGTTTCTCTGTGTTTTTCCTGGGCTACTTCCACCAGAGAGGAGGGTTGCCTGGGAGAGGGAGGAGAAGAGAGGGAGGGAGTTAAAGGAGAGAGAGGAAGAGATAGAAGAAGCAGAGATGAAACAGTACCCTTAGGTTCAAAAACTGCTGTCTGGAAGTTGTAAAGGGTTTTTCAGCATGTTTTTGGTGTCTGTCAATCATCTATTTTCATCAGTTCTAACTGTAATTCTCTCTTGGTGTATATGCCACACTTGACATTGAAAGAAGGTTGGTGCATAGATTAAAGTGCCCACCCCTGAAACCCAGTAGACTCCAGTGGCATGAGTTTGAAAAGAGAACTAAGATCCAGGGTCCTTCTAGGTTAGGGCCAACTGGACTGTGACAGATAAAGAGTATGAACAAAATCTGGGTATGTGTTAGATTCTGTAAAAGTGAAGGGGAGGGAGACCTTGACTATGGGGTCTTCCAGAAGTCCTCTGGACTGTGCCCCTAAGGACCTGGGCCCTGGTTTCGGGGTAGACTCTGCCTGTTTCCTAAATCATAGTAGATCCTGTGGGAGTCCCCCACCTCTATCCCTCTCCCCCTCGCTCCATCCCGCAGTCCTCTTTGGGTCCCACATCCCCATTTCTGGAGCCTCACTGTCCCACTAGGGCCTGACACCCAGTGTCACCTGTAACAGTGACAGGAGCTTCCGTTTATTCTGGAGGAGACCACGAGGCCCATCATACAGGTTTCTTCATTTACCTTCACAAAAGGCATTGAGGAACACAGTTAGTTAACTGTTGAGGAACTCAAGGTTCAGAAAGGAAAGGGGACTTGCCCAAGGTCATATGGCCAGGGAATCAGAGGAGAGCTTTGCGCCCAGAGCCTTGGGAAGGCAAGTGATTATCCTCTTACAAAGTACACTAAAGACAGTATTTTGAAATTGTTTTAAAGTACACTAGCATCAAGTAGGAAGTGCCTATATTTCCCAAGGCTTCTGCAGCTTCCCCATTTCTGATAAAGGGAACTTGGAATTCCCTGGGTCTCCTTTTTAGCTGTCTGATCTGAGAGATTCAGACATATTCCCCTTGCCTTGCCTGACCTTAGGGATCAGAAGGTGGGCTGTTACACAACCCCGGAGCCCAGAGTCCCAGTGCTGGGAAGAGCCCTGAGGACACTGTAGACCAGCTGCCACCATGACACTGACTAACCCAAAGCCCAGGAGATGGCACAGCTGCTGAGTTCATTGGCTCCAAGTCAATGCCAAAGTCATGTTCATACTTGCACTTCTGTCTGTGATGCTCCTCTGCCTCCTGTCTCTTGGTGTGGCCCTTTTCAGCAGAGATTCTCAGCCTTGAGACCAAGGGCAGATTGCTTGAAGTCAGAGGGTCTGTCCCTCTGCACTGCAGCCCTGGCTCCGAACAGTCGTGATCTTGGCCCTTCTGAGTACCTGTTTGGCCCAAAAGCCATGGTTGAAATGCTCAGGGTCTCCACAGATTCCCCTCTTCCATAGGCAGGAGGTGAGCCTGGCTTGAGGTGGGGGACACAGGGAGGAAGTGTGGGTGTAAACTGGAAGGGGCAGCAGGAGAATTGAAAACAACTTTCTTGGCCAAGGTTGCTGTGCCTTGAGACCAAGGACAGAAAACACAAATCTGTCCCCCGGGAGCATGGGGGAGGTGCTGCCCTGGTCTTCCAGGGGGCCAAGCACCAATCTCCTCAGAGGAAAGCAAATTGTGTCAGGGAGTCCTAAAGCCAGAATGGGCTCAGGGAAATCTGTCAGTGGGGAGCCCAGGACTGTGGAGGGGATGGGTGCACAGCAGAGGCAAGCAGGCTGGTATGGTCAGCTCAGGGCAAGTGGAGGTGATGATGGTTTGAGGCCTGCCTCACCTGTGTCCCCAGGCTCTGTCTGACTGTGCACAGCACCCTGCCAGGCCTCCAGTTGGCAGGACTGATGGGGCTAGGACTGGGCTGGTGCTGGGGCAGGAGGGACTGTGAACAAACCAGAGGTAGGTGATGATAGGGGTAGAGAGGAGGAGAGGGGGAACATTGGAGGGACAATGGGAAAGGGCAGCAGCTGCTCAATCACTGCCTGCTGTCCACACTGAACAGCTGGCTTTCTCTGCACAAGTGTGTGGCAGAGGAGCAGCCTGTGTCTGCCAGGCCCTTTAAAGGCAGCTGCCTTCTTCACTGGCCGAGACCCTGCCATTTGCTGGCTAACAGGTGCTGGGAAGGCCTTTCACAGGTTCATTGTTTCCAAGCCCTGCTACTGCCCTGGGTTGGCTTTTGGAAGTTGTAACCTGAACTGAGGAGGAGCAGGGATCTCAGACTCCCCAGCGTGCAGGGCAGTGTGGCCTGCACCTGCCTTCCTTTTGCATCCAGTAGCCCTGCTAGAGGGTGCCAGTGGTGCCCAGCCCTGTCCTCCTTTCCTTATTACCTATTTGATTTAAATCATACCTAAGTGGGAACCTAAGAGTCGTGATCAGCTCAGAACCTTTGAATTTAGGGACCCCAGGTTCTCCATATTGTGAACTAGGAGACCACCCTCCACAGTCAGCATAGCTTTGTAAGAAAAAGCATTGTAAAACTAAAAAGTAGGCAGCACATAGTGCCACATTATAGTGTGTCCAATTCAGTTCTGTGAAAATCCTATCTTTTGTCCTTTTGCAATTACCCTGTAGGAATTGAGTCCAGTGGTGATCAGTAGAGTCCCTTCTTCTGTTATAACTGGCCCCAAGAACACATAAAAAGGAAAGAGAACCAAGGTTGTAAAAGGCTCAGTCACTTTTGTCTCTCCGTAGAAGGCTGTGGACTGGCTGCCTACAGCCAGCCACTGAAGTGGAAAGTATGACAACTCGCTGCATTCACTAGGGACAGGTAGCCATGGCTAACGCCTGAGGCCTCCAGGGCAAGCTTGGAGGCCTGAGCTGTGTGCTGTAGGGTCCAAGGGCCTGGAACAAGCCAGGACAAAGAAGGTTGCTGGTGGGAGGGGAGCAGTCTAGGCCAACTGGCCTCTCTGGCTGCATCTGTCACTCTAGTTGTCAGACTGTACCTGGGTGGCAGGCCAGCCCAGCCCCATCCTCTCCCAGGCTCCTGCTTCCACCCAAGCTGCATTTGTGCATTGGGCCTCTGCCTAGGATTCATTTCAAGATAAGACCGTGCTGCTTTATTATAAGAGATTGAAAACAGGCTGCTGGAGATTTCCCGGGCCCTGCCTGATGCACAAGCAGACTCTGTGCTTGGGGGCCAGCTTCAGGGCATAGTCCTGACAGCCCACTCTGCTTTTGTGCAGGGTGAGGATGTTCTCTCCCATTCAGCAGTCATCTCTAAAATGCCCCTTAGGTACTCTGCAACTCACCAAGAGGCTGAGCATCAGAATGAGTGAAAACCAGCTCAACCCTCAGATTGGGAAAGGCACGAAGACAAAGGGTTCACATTGTTAAGGAATCTATGGGTGATTCCACAGTTGCTGCCTGCTTGGGGTGGAGACCTGTAAGAGCCGGAGAGTCCAAGTGACTCGCTTAGGGCCATGCTGCTGGTGCTCATCGGAGGACACAGAAATGAAAGGAGAGACTGTTTTTCTGTGGGGCCAATTTCCCACCCCGTGAGGCTCAGGCCCAGCCCAGCAAGTGTGAAGAGCCCAGCTTTGCTGAAGTGAGCCTTCATCACCTCCCCCAGCCTTGCTCACTGGGATTCCTGCTCTCTTCTGGTATGGCATGTCACAGTCTCTGTTGCTGCCAACTTAGCTGTTTTCCCTGCATGCCCACCTTCCCCTTTCTTCCTTGACTATGCCATCTGCAATACAGGGTCTTAGTTTCTTCCTGACTCCTCTGAGCAGCAGACACTACCCCCACTGGCCATGTCCTTTGCATAAGCAGGTCCTCAGGGGTAAACCCATGCTGAAGGTCAGCAAGAGACAGTGCTTTGCAAAAAAAGTATCAGCCCCAGGTGATGGGGCTCCTGTACTCTCAACCAAAGCAGCCCCTTTAATCTGATTTGCATAAAAATTACACAGCTGAGAAAATGTCAAACCCATTGGAAGTCAATATCCTTATTATACAGATGGGAAAATTGAGGCTCAGAAGAAAAGACACACAACTGAAGCCACCCAAGTCTTAGCAGCAACCAGCCCAGAGCTCCTTAGAAAGTGTCTCTGTTAATAAGTAACCACCGCCTGATTTACAGGAAATTCCACTTGTAGATGTTCCAACTACATAGAGCAGAATGGTCATATTCCCATTGTGCTGTGGGAGAACGAAAGTATTGTAAACTGAGTCAGGGCGCAAGTCAAAGGTCACAAACTAGAGCCCCATAAGTGTCTCTGTCTTGAAAGTGTGTTTGGTCTGCCTATATCCTATTTCTAAATATATTTAAATATAAATATTAAGGGTATTTGTTGTAGTGATTGAGTTAATTTGCTGTATTAGTCAGGCTGAGCTGGGTTATACTGCAATGACAAATCCCTGTGGTTTATTTCTCTTTCCCACTGCAGATCCACTGTGGGTTGGCAGGAGACTCTGATCCACAGAGTCACTCAGGGTCCCAGGCTGATGTTAGACATCAGTTAGAACATGTGGCTTTCTGGGTCACTATGGCAGGAGACTGGCATTGATTCTTAAATATGCTGACCTGAGAGTGACCCACACACTTCTGTTTGCAGCCCACAAAGGAGGATTGGTCACATGGCCTTTTGTAGCCTCAGGGGAAGGCTAACAGTCACATAGTCATTCCAGGGCAGTCTTATCTCCGCCAGAGCCTCCCAACTTTAAGCAGTGGAATGTATACACTCACAAATATCCAGATTTCTGCCTTCCCATGAAACACCAGAGGATCTGTGCCTCCATTTCCCCATGGATTCCATGACCAGCGTCACTCAAATGAGCCACCTGCTTAGCCCCTGGACACTTTTTACATCTTGCATTCCTGCTGTAGGTGTACAACTCTGGAAGAACTAACTTTTAGAGAAGTCTGAGAATCTTCTTGTAGTAATTCAGTCATTCAGCAACCATTTACAGGCTTCCTTTCCACATGCCCGGCTGTGCTTGGTGCTAAGAAAAGACAGTGAAGCAGAAAGGTCACCACCCCAGCATGTCTGTACCCCTGGGATGTCAATAGGAGAGGTGGATTTGGAGGTCTGGAGGAGGTTCCAGGGAGTGAGGGGCTCTGGCATGGGAGAGGAACTGACATAAGAGCAAAGAAGATGGTGAAGAAAGAGAGGGAGGGAGAGGAGTTGTGAACAGACCAGCACTGAGGAAGTCCTAAGGGAGGAAAAAGCATGGAGCCCCCAGGGGCTGTGAGCAGTCAGCAAAACTGAGGCTCAGAGCAGGAAGTGGGTAGGAGGTGGATATAGAGAAGGGAAAAGAAAACACCACAACCTATTATTTCTGGGCAAATAGAGCCCTTCCTACCATGAGCTTGCATAAAGCAAGACAAAGCATGGCCCAACAGAACCAGTGTCAACCCAGAAACCCCACCACAGGGTCTTGCCCTTGGGTTGAAGGCAGCTTCTGCACACACAGGTCTGAAGCACCTCCCAGACAGGGAGCCACAGGTCCCTCATTCCACAGGTCAGCTGAAGGGAGGAACCGAAACCTGTTTTGAAATCACTGTTGCCTAGTTGAGGAGAACACAGCACCCGCCTCCAAGGCTGGGTCCCAGTGGTGCCAGTGGTGCCAGCACTCTGTGTCCTTGTGGAGGCTGGGTCTGTCATACAGGAGTCCTGGCCTCCATGTAGGCCATGGTCTACCTCACCCCAAAGCAAGGAAGAGAGATAGTCCTGAAGTCACTAGGAAGCCCAGCTGTCCCCAGTCCTTCCTTCTCCATGCCAGTCATAACCCCCTGCTTCTGTAATCAAACCCTCACTCAGAGCTGAAGCCAACACAGAGGGTGACTCAATAAGGAGTCTGTGGGTATCAGGCCGGTGTGGGGGAGGAAGATGAGAGAGAGTATAGGACAGGTCAGGGTCAGTGCCCAAGGGGATAGAGCTCTGCCATGATGGCCTGAGGACAATCATAAATTAGACGGTAGGAGGCCTGACCTTGAGCCCAGAAACATTTGCACACACATAGGTCAGGACAATGTGTTGAGCTGGATTTGTGTAAAGGAGTATTTGAGTTTGCTCATGAATGGACCTCTGTAGGGGGAAGGACACAGTGTGCCCACCACCCCCAGCTGTGTCACCTCCCTATGTAACTCCAACGTGGGAAGTAAGAAGCAGGAAGGTCAGCATTAGTGAGGGCAAGAGAGAGACAGAGAGAGGCTTTATCTCACTGCCGGTAAGGAGGAAGCCTTGGTAAGACAGTGTTCTTGGCCAGAAAATGGCAATCCCCTCTTATTTATGGTTTTATTTTCTGTGGTTCTTGTTACCTTAGGTTAACCTTGGTCTGAAATAAATGGAGGACTCTAGAAATAAACAATTCATAATTGTTTGTTTTGAGTAGCATACTATAATCTCATCATCCCACCTGTGCTCGGGTGTGAGTCATCTCTGTGTCCAGTGTATCCACACTTCATGTATTACCCACCCATTAGTCACTCAGAAGTCTCAGTCATTAGATGAACTATCGTTGTATCACAATGCTTGTGTTTCAGCAACCCTTAATTTGCTTAATAACAGCCCCAAAGCACAAGAGTAGTGATGTTGATAATTCAGATATGCCAAAGTAAAGCCTCACAGTACTTCCATTAAATGAAAAGGTGAAAGTTCTTGACTTAACATGGAATGAAAAAAATCAAGATGCTGTGTTGCCAAGGTCTAAAGTAAGAATGAGTCTCCCATCCATAAATTGTGAAAAAGGAAAAAGAATTCCATGAGTTTTTTGTTGCACCTAAAACTGCTTAAGTTATGACCACGGTCCATGACGAGTGCTTGGTTGAGATGGAAAGCGCATTTAACTTACAGGTTCAGTACTAGCTGAGGTTTGGCACCTTCTAGGGTCTTGGAACATGTCCCGTGCATATAAGGAGGACCACTGTAATGTCAACAGGATAAAGAAAGCTCAGGAGTTGCCCCCCACGCAAGCAGCCTGGGAGGACTTGGAGGCCCCGCACCTTTCACGATTGTGGATGGTAGGAGAGGCAGTTTCATGAGTGGAGTCCACCACTGAACCTGGAGGCTGGACATCGCCCCACTGAGTGGAGGAAGAAGGAAGGCTTGAGGGTTAAACCATTGCCCAAGAGCAAGTAGAGGAGAGGTTAAGAGGCCAGAATTTGGTCCAAATGCTTGTGCTGCAAGAGTGGCTTTGCTACTTGCTCTCTGCTTGCTCTTAGGAACCATGCCTCACTTCGGTCCCTGTCTTCTAATCCATAAAATGGGAATTTATGGTTGTTACCTGGTAACAATGCTATTGTGAGGACTAGATAAGATAATTCACAGAGAATGCGCTACAGTCCCCAGCACATAGCGAGGACAGTACCAATTAACACTCCAGTGGGAGAACTGGCCCAGGAGACCTGACCCCAGAGGCAGTAATGGGCTGCTACCCTGTCTCAGTAGGAAGGGAGGAGAGAGGACTGGGCCTTTGGAGGACTCAGGAGCCACTGGGGCAGAAGCCATCATTCAAGGGGTGACCCTGCCAAGTCCTGAAATGTTTCAGAAATCAATCTAGATTCCTGGAGATTGTGTAGAGTTTTCCAGGGTGGGGGCCTGCCCTCTGGGACTGACTCTTCCACTTGGACGGGTATCAGACCAAGGTGGATGGCCTCCATGCCAGGGCTCTGGGCACAGCACTAACCAGAGCTCCTCCTGGCTCACCTGACTGCCACCATTCCTCATTTACTTGACAGGTAACTTCCAGGTCTGCAGACAAGAGCTGAAGATGAAGGAAGATTGTCCACCCAGCTCTCATGTGCCCATCAGTGACAGCAAGTCCATTCTCAAGTAAGCCTTTGTGTGCAGGCAGCAGGGCTCTGAAACCTCCGTGTGGCTTCTCCCCAGCATAGTGCCATAGGTGGAGGGGTTGGAGCTCTTTTTCACACGTGTAATAGTGTGTCCTGGGGACAGTGGTAGGTGCTTCTTTTTTGGACCTGCCTCTTTGGAGATCAAGTTGTTTTCAGGCTGTGGATTTGAACCTCCCTCCTTGAAAAACGCTCAGTGGCACTGCAGTGATGGAATTTAATTTCATTATTTAAAGACTAGAATGATATCAATACTCTCAGTGTATTAAACAGCTCAGAAGAACTCTCAAACCAGCTATAAGTCTTTAATGAAAAAAGTGTACTTGATTGATATATTTTTAACTTATTTTTATTTACTCTCACTATAAAAAAATGGGGATATTTTCTCAAATCCATTTGTGAACTAAATAAAAGTATCTTTTTATTTTTAATTATCTTGATTTTTGAGTCCTGAGTCAAAATATTTTCTAAATTTGGGGAACTCCTCTCTGCCAACCCAAGAAGAGCCAGCATCCTTGAAATGCTAGCTTTTGCTGAGGATCTGCCCCTGGGGGCCTCCTAGGAGTGGCCATGACATCATCATGTCATTTCACCACACCACCTTTAGCATCGTTTTTGTTGTTTGAGGTTTGTAATAAGAGCGATGAGACGATATTAAGTATGGTTTTGAAAAGTCACGATAGCGATAACAAGATTGATTCCACATAAGTACATGTTTCCTCAGGTATTTTGTATTCAGCATTTACACCTTCACAGGCATAATTGGAAGTGTGATATCGAACCCTGCCTTGTTAATGTCATGAAGTCACACATCAGTTCCTCTGTTGGTTCTTGTCATCCTCACGCCACACACAGTCCCATGCACCCAGGTCCAAAGTAGGTTTTGCCGTGGTCACTTTGTGTGACTTGCATGTGAGTGGAGGCACTGCCTGAGAAGGTGCTAGAGTCTCAGGGTCCATCAGGGCCCAAGACCCAGGAGGCGTGTTTTCTACAAAACACTCCAGATGGCAAGCACTTCATGCAAAATAAAAGAATGAGCAAGATCTCCTTAAGCTTCATATTCCATGTTGATAGGATAATTTAGGTATGCAGGGCTCAGTAAATGCGTTATGAACACTCATAAGTTTTGTTTACTGCTGTAGTGCATCTTATATCCTAGATGGCCTGTGCTGTCTTGTGGAGCCAGCTTGGATGTGGGAACCATCCTTGTCCTCTCTCTCATGCACACCAGCCAGGGCACTGGGGCTTTCCTGCTGTGCTGGGAGAAAGTGTTTGGGCAGAATGGCCTCCCTGGGGTCATCAAAGTCTTAACTGTCAGCCTGTCACCTTCATTCCATAGTTGTAGCTAGGGAAAGTCAAGATATGGACAGCAGGCACCACTCCTGATAACTCCCTTCAGCCCCTAGTGGGCTCTTGTAGGAATTAATACCAGGAAAAGGCAAGAGTCTTTGAAATGCCTGTAATCCAATCCCAGAGGACTCCCCAGAGGAAGTGACTCAGGACTGTCAGGGACTCGCACCTGCAATAGTGAAAGTGGGAACACGCCCTAGTGTCCCCAGTGGGAGGGGGCCTGCCTGGGAGTTTTACTTTCTTCTCACACCCCTTACCTCAGTCTTCCCTGCCCACTCTCACTTCCCACAAAGGCCTTGGAGAAAACCTGGAAGACAAAAGAGCATGAGCCATGATAGCACAATCAGAGCTCCTAACTGATTCCCTGTGTCTGGCAAAATGTGTACTCTTATGTCCATTTTACAAATGAAGAAACTAAGAACAATGAAGCCAAATGACTTGTCTAGGCCCTCCACACCCAAAATGTACATGTGTGACTTTACCTTTTTAGGTCGGAGCTCTTAAGCCTGCTGAAAACCTACAACTGCTACCATGAGGGCAGAAGCTTCCAGCTGAGACACAGAGAAGTAAGGCCAGAAGCTCTCCTTGTTTGTACTATCACTGTTTATCCTGGGTTGCTTAGGCAGCCATAAATTACACTTGTTATTTCAAAGGGTCCCAGTTTGGATAATAAGTAATATAGTCACCCTTGTCATTTCTGGGTTGGGGACCAGTTTAAAAGCAGGCAGGGTGGGGTTAGAGCATCCCTGTGAGGACTCAGAGCCAATAGAAATCTCCTTGCAAGCCTTCTCCTGCCACCCAGGACCTTTGTCCAGAAGAATTGCTGTGACGGCATAGCTCCTTCCTCCTTCTGCCCATCACACCATGGACAAGTCCCCTCTGCTCCCTGCCAAGCCAGCCAGTTTTCCTGGACCTTCTCACCTGCGTCTCCCCGTTTATAAAGTGAGGTGTTGGGCTACTCTGGGGGTTACAAACTCAGGCATTCACAGGACCTGCAAGGTGCGTGTAGGAGTGGGTTGCCATTAAGAGTGGCAGTCACCCATCAGATCCAACCCAGGCTGCTAACACAGGAATCGGGCCTGGCACAGGCAGATCCCTCCTAACTTTTCAAAAGAAGATAGATATCTGTAATTTCATGAGGAATTTCTCAAATCTCAAAACACCATGTAGGATAACAAAATATGATCAAGGCCAAATATAGCCTTGAGCACTCCAGCTGCATCCCAGGGTATGTCTAGCAGGGCCCAGGCTGGGACCACTCTGGGGCAGATCTAGCAGAGCCCTGGTCTTCCACCATCTTCACAACAGGACCTTGGTAATGGCTTTGTGCCCTCATCTAAGTCTAATTCAGTATATTTTATAGCCTAATAGTGAGTTTCATCATGGTAGGATTTTATTTTGGGGGGCTTTCATAGCTGAAATGGGGTTAGTACTAGACTGTTCATCATCCGTCAGTGTCTGACAAGGGCCAGCAAATTCCAAATGCCCTTCTGCTGTCAAACAGAAAAAGCGAAACCCACAGAGACTTTGCCAGGGCTCTGTGAGCCTCCCTCTTGTTAGTTACTCATCAGCCCACAATTTTCTAGGTACTGAGCAGAGAGTCAGCAGACAGCCTAGCTGGACACCTAAGTCACCCCATGGGCCAGACAGAGGTCAGCCTGTGAGGACCTCTGGTTATGTAGGCTGGGTGCAAAGGAAACTTCAGACTCCTGAACTTTAGGCTGCCTGTGACTACCTGGAATGGCAGGAGCCTCAGGCTCTGTCTTCCTTTGATTTGTGAACTCAAATTGGGGCGGGGGAGGGGGGGCTTGGAACAAGTCCTGACCACCTGTTCCCTCCCCGTCTGCTGTCTCACTGCTTCATGCCTCCTTCTTGGGCTTTGCCAAGAGGTGCCTCTCAGATACCTGTCTTACCCTGTCTGGCCCCAGTCCTCCCCATCCCCACATGGTTCCTTACTGTCCCTGGCCTGGCTCTGACTTGGTTCTAGGTTCTACTGGATCTTTTCTCACCTGAGCAGTGAGCCCCTTGGAGTGGAGTCAAGCTCCACTTGGTTTCTTGATTCTGCATACCTCAGGCTAGGCCCAATGTGATCCTTGTGCATAGCTGCTGAATGACCCCAGCAGGTACAGGCTTAGGGCCAGCTGGGATGAGGAATAAGTCCTGAATCCTGATCTTTAGTATGCTGAGGAAGAAAGGGGCAAATGGGGCCAGAGAGTTTTGACCTTTGATCTGCACTAAGCAAGGGGTTGGCTCCCACCTCAGACAGAGGTGAGAGCCATGGTAGAGCCATGAGGTATGGTCAGAGGGCCTAAACTCTGGGCCTTTCAGACACTGACCTAAGACCCCAGTGGTTCTCTACATGGTCCTGAACCAGCAGCTTCAGCACAGTCTAGGAACTGGTTAGAAATGCAAACCTTATCATCCCTCCCCCAGGCCTGCTGAATCTGAACTCACCATCCTTCCATCTGAGTCTAACAAACCTTTCAGGGTATTCAGATGTAAGGTCAAGTTTGAGAGTCATTAGTCATAGCATAGTCTTGGAGTTTGGGATTCCCCAAGATAATCCCCTCTGTAGGAATGACTGTATAGGGAGCTGGGCTGGGAAGCCCCGAGCCACACCCTGGGTTTGTGTGTGGGACAGTCCATTTGGAGAAGCAGGGGATACTACAACCAGCAAGAGGCATTCCTGACAGCCTCCAATGGTGGGGAGTAAAACCCCAGCAGGGATTTCATGTTCTCAACTCTAAAGAGGATGTGAAGATTTTTCCTGATCCCCTATGGAGACAAAAAGTAATTTTCAGGAATCTTCTGCAGCCCCAGCATGTATGGGAGGAGGGGAGAGTCTAAGGAAGAAGTGTGGATCTTTTCAGGGTGGCAACAGCCATAAAGGCAAGGTTACAGATCTAGAAACTCAGAGCTCTGACACTTGTAGGCAGGTTTTCCCCTGGCATGCCACACCCTTGGGGTCTCACTGAGGCTGCATGACATACCCATCTCAAAGATCTTGGATCTGCAATTTTTGGCCATTGGGGATCCCCTAGTACTTGCTACAGGGCCATCTCAGGTGACCTCTCCTTGGGCACCACAAGGACTGGGCAGACAGGAGGAAGTAACAATTCCCCAGGAAACCTCCAAAACACTGAGCATTTTGCTGCCACTCCTCTAATTATTGTAACACAAGAGTTTTGTGATGTAGGAAGGACCATTTTCCAGGTGAAGACCTTCAGGATCTCAGAGGTTAGGTATCTAACCCAAAGTCAGACTGGACTAAGTGAAAGATGCCAGCATGGCTTTGAAGTTAGAGCACAGTTGCTTATAATATAGAAATACCATTTTGACCACTACAGTTTGGAGGTCTCTATTGAATGTCACTTGACAGGTCCCAGGAACACAGGGCTGTTTGCCATCCTTCATCTCCCAGCTAAGGTGTCTTCAGGCTGACCAAGGGCTCAGTACCTAAATGTGCCCTCCCAGACTCAGCAGTGCCCTAAAAGAGACCCCCTCTTTTGTCGTTGGCTTCCCTAGTAGCAACTGCAGCCTGGGCTACAGTTGAGAAGGGAGTCCTTCTCCTTTGCTGCCCCATCAGTGTCTGCAGAACTTAGAAAAGTGAGGTGGTGCATGTTTGGCAGGGCTGTGCCCTGAGACTCGTGTTTCCTTCCCTGTGACCCTTTTCTTCAATTTCTAAGGGCTAGCAAGAGATATTCTCCTCTCTGGAGGCTGGTGGACCAACTTCCTTTACTGTAAACCTTACCTTTGGGATAATTTGCTCGTGTTACAATGAAAAGTGTGAAAGAGTAGTCTTCCTTTCTAAAAGTAATCTGTACCTTTTGAAAATGACAAAGAGTTTTTATCACGCTAATTGGTGTCTCAGGAGAAAAACAGACTACACAGTGTGTAAGCCCATCAGTCTAGGCTAACAGTTTGAGCAAGAGGCAGGTTGACCCTGGGTGTCTGCACCTCACCCCCATGTACCGGCTTTCAGCTCTCAGTGGGCTCACGGGCTCCCCCTGGTGGCTAAGAGCCACCACACATCCTGAGCAATGTGAGAAATGAAGGTGCTTCCTCTCCTCCAGTGTCTCTCTGTCCTCCAGAGGGTGTGGGAAGCCAGTGTATTTCCCTAGGAGGGCTGACTTGTCCCCTCTCCAAAGGCCTGGAAGACCACTGGACCCTGGAGTGAGTAGTTGGCCCCAGGGCCATCTCCATCCCTGGGAGCTACAAAATGCTTCTCCTGCCCTGGTGCCACCTAGGTCCCTCCTCCTCCTTGCTCCAGCAGCAAGTGGCAGGGAGTGTGACTACTCACAGGAGTAGACGAACTTATCGTGAAGGGAAAGGAATTCTGCTAGGCAATTCTGTCTTCAGCAGCTAGGAACACTGCCAGAAGTCCCTTCTGGGAGGGGGCACCTTCTCAAGGATCTATTAGCCTCCTTCATATCAGGGGATATCTGCAGAAGAACCGAGAGCCCAGGGGTTCCCTCACCTGTCTTCGCCGCCCCCATCCGCAGTGTGGTTTCTGAGGATTCACTCATCAGAACAGCCTGGGGACATTATTCATTCTCCCTATTTTGCCCATGAGAAAACCATGGAATAAAGAAACTAAGTCACCAACTCAAGGTTATCAAGTCAGAAGAAGCAGAGCAAATAGTGTATGCTGTGTCTCATTGTGTGAGCCAGGCTGTCATTTGGACTCAGAAGAGGGGGCTCACTATGAACTGTGACAGCAGGAAACCACTCAGAAAAGCATTACCCTCTCAGAAGCATGCAAAGACAGTGCCCACCACAAGGCAGGGAGGCTGGGGAGACAACATGGAGCCAGCATGCTCTTTACAGAAACCTTTATTGGGGAGGGGTCAGAATTCATGGATCACAGGGAGGTGCAGGTAGAGACTTCTGAGGATGCTGCTGGGGCGGGAGTGGCAGGGCACAATTGTGGCCCGGCTGGGCTGCCCAGAAGTACAGCTTTGCACACTGGAGCTCTGGTGCCCATCCTGTGATGGTCTTGCCAGAGAGCGCCCAGGCACCCTGGCTTCACAGAGCCTCTCTCTGGGGGCCCCTCTGGCCTTGCTGCTGTTGATTTGTCTGTATGCATTCCGGTGGCCAGGAGAGGTGCATGTTCCCCTGGGCAGATCTCTCCTGTTTGGCTGTTTTTCCTGGGATTCCCCAAAGAGCCAGTCCAGAGGGTCAGCAATGCCAGCAGAGGGCAGTGTGGGCTGCTGGTCACTGAAGCAGGGGCTGCTGTCCAGTAGGGTCGAAGCCTGATGGCTCTTCCCACTGGCACGGGCTATCCAGGGGGATCTGTTGGGTTGGCCCCTGGCTGTAACCTTGTCCAGCACAGAAGTGGGCTGTGCCAGCTGACAGATAGACCTCACATAGTCATCCAGGCTGGGGGAGGCTGGCGGCTCCTGCCCAGGTCTCGCGGGCAGCATCTCCTCTGAAGTCTCCCGAATCGTGGGCAGGTGGTCTACAGATAGCAGAAGCTGGGACCTCATTGCTAGTGATGAAACAAAGGCAGCAACCTGTTGACTAATAGAGAACAGGTGGTGAGGGCCTGCTGTGCCATCCTGACACCCCTCCTGTGTCCCCTTCTTCATTTCAGGCTGCATGGGATTCACTGCCCCAAAATAATGTGAAATCCACAGACCTGAGTCCAGGGTTGGGACTCCGAAGCTCTTCCCTCCTTCTTACATTAAAAACCCACATGCTTAAGACTTTATCATTACTGTGGTTTAAGAATGTGACAGATGAGAGACCCCCCCAACTGCATGAATGTGGAGTTCAGAGGAAAACCAGGTTTAGAAGAAGAATCTGCCACTTCATCACCTTCAGACCTTTGGCAGAGTCACCTCTCCAAGCCTGACAGGGATGTTGTAGGAAACACATGCAATAGGACCTCTAAAAAGTTCTTTGTCAATTCAAAGCCTTTGTAGACATGGCTGTCGTCACTATTATAATTGCTGTTAGTGGCACTGCCCTGGTCTCTACCCTACAATGAGGTGTACCATACAGGCTCAGAATCCCCCTCCAGAATAAACACAGCCCTGGGTTTTGTCTCAATGCAGAGGGCCTCTGTTGTCTTACCTGTAGCTGAGGAGCGTGGGGGCAGCAGGAAGGCTGGACAAGCAAGGACAGTCTAGTCGGAAGGAAGCCCCCAGGAAGCTCCCTGGAGAGGTAGAGATGTGTCTGCTGTTGGCTCACTGGGAGGAGGGACCTTGAGGACAATGTTCTGTGCTGGTGTCCACAGCAGAAGGCTTTTCCCTGTGATCTGCAAACCTTCAGCACTGTTAGCTGCTTTTATACCTTTCCTCTAGCCATCAATTATTGTCACAAAGGCTAAAAATAGCCGTGCTCAGGAAGGCTGTCAGAGGAAAACAGCTTGGTAGGCGGGGCCTGGCCTGGCTGCCAGCCTGGAGCATGTGTTTGTGCCTGTGGGAGGCTGGGGAATGTTTACACTGCAGGGCGGAGTTGCAATGGTCACCTCTCCTGGTTACCAGGAGAGGTGCTCCTGGAGTCAGGGGCACCACAGGCAGCCCAGGGTCTACCACTGGCCTGGAAGTGTTCCTTACTGTGTATTACATCAGTGCCTCATGACTCCAGGAACTAGTTTTTGCTGAGTCCTGGGCCTGCACCTGTGAGGCTAGGCTGGGTCCTCAAGTGGCCTTAACAAGACATCAGCCACCCAGGATGAGGCACACCTCACCTTGGACTAGGATTAAAGGTAACCTGCTGGGGTGTGGTCCTGGTCTTGCAGCTTCCCAGTTGGGGGACTTTTCAGGGAGAATTTGTTTCTTTACTTATTCACCAGATATGTAGTGCTACTCTGTGCCAATGACTACTCAGTGCATAGCAAACATAAAGTCATGGCCCTCTGAAGCCCGTTTCCCAGAAAGAGAGACAGTCAAGTTATCAGTGGACAGGTGCTGTGGCTTCATGTAATGATGATAGCTACAGAATCTTACACTTCGCATGCCTCTCTGGGGTTAGCAGTACTACCAGGTAAGAGACCCAGGTTCTGGTCCCACCTCTGCCTGTGCACACTTCCCCACCTGTGTCCAGTAGTCTGTCAGACCCCACTGACCTCAACTGTCCTTTGATTTGATCTGAGACCACTGCAAGCTAACAGGGCATCCCCTCCATTCAGATGGGACCAGACTAAGGGAGGATGGAACCACTGTGGGGGCATAGGACATTCACGTATAGGGACATCCAGCCTAAATCCTCTCTGTCCAGCCTATACCCACACAGTTGACCCTCCAGCCTCAAAGGCAGCACCTGTGCCTCAGCCCCTGGTCCATCCACAGCACCTCCCTCCATTCTCCCAGTCCCAAAGAGTTCCTCCTCGTCCCCACTTCATTGCAAAGTTCTCAAATCTCCCTCCTATGGGATCTCTGAAGGCCTAATTTGACATGTCCAACCTGCAGCTCCACCCCTTGTTCCTTACCCTGCATCCTTCTCTGAGCTGTTCCTCACACAGGTGTTGATTAACCTCACTCACCACGCCTCCAGGAGCCTCCTGGGTCTCTTCTGGTCTTGGGAAGCAGGGAACACTTGCCCAGGTGTGACCAGCCACCTGTCCTTTTCAGCTCTCCTGGGCTGTCTTCAGGCCACAACCCTACTGCCTTCATGCCCCTGCCTTTGCTCAGACAGGTTCTGCTGTCAGGAACACCTGCTCACCTGTCCTCTCCATCCACACTTTTATCCACATTCCAGGACCCACTACATAAGCATCTTCTCACTCCCAGCTCCTTCTGTGTCCAGGTGTGAGCCCCTTATGGCTGAGTTGTGTCTTCTTCATGTGCCTCTTTTTAGAGCCTAGGTGGGGCTGAAAGGGAAGTGGGTCTCAATGAAGGAAACATCTGTATGCTGAGATGTTTCAGGTGGGCAAGAGCTAGAAACAGAGATGCCTGAGACCACCATGGAGGAACTGAGCCTCACCTTGGTTTCTTATCCTTCCCAGGGACCTTTAATACCATCATCAATGCCAGTCTTTCCTGTATGGGAGTTTAGTTTTCCATCTGAGCCTGAGTAACATCCCTGAGGAGCAGTGTAGCTCTGGTACCTTCTAGTTTGCTTTATTTTTAGCAAATAGTCATATCAGAAATCTGTGCATATTTTTGGTAACCTTAGAGTAGATTTTCTCTGATGACAGGGTGTTTGAAACTTGAAAGGATTACTAACCATGAGATCCACACTATAAGTGCTGCCTCAGACTCCTAGAAGGACGAATGATGGTTGCCAGGGGCAGTGGGGAGGGTCAGGATATGGGGGTTGATGTTCAATGGTATAAAGTTGCAGGTTATGCAAGATGAACAAATCCCAGAGGTCTGCTGGACAACAGAGTGAACAATTAATCCTGCACTGTGCACCTAAACATCCTTTAAGTGAGTAGGTCTCACGTTAAATGTTCTTACCACAAAAATAGACAAGTAGCTGGGTGCCAGTGGCTTAACGCCTGTAATCCTAGCAACTCGGGAGGCAGAGATCAGGAGGATTGCAATTGAAAGCCAGCAAATAGTTTGCGAGATCCTATCTTGAAAAAACCCTTCACAAAAAAGGGCTGGTGGAGTGGCTCAAGGTGTAGGTCCTGAATTCAAACTCCAGCACTGCAAAAAAAAAAACAGTACATCAATAAAATATTGGATGAGACAATAAAGAGACTGATGGTCAACGTTACTGTCTGTGGGGAGAGGGCACAGTCAGGTTCTGACAGGTGTTTTGAGTGTTCAAATGATGACACCCAGCCAAGCCTACTCATGAGGTGATTGGCTGATACAGAGAGCCTGGGGTGGCCATTTGGAGACAGGCCTGAAATAGGTCAGAAACACAGAATCAAGGACATGAGTGATGCAAGCCAGAGCCAGTGAGGTGCCTGTAGAGTGCAGGACCCCACGGTTCTCAAGTTGGATGGCAGGTTATTTTATCCATACGCCTCAGGAAACCAAAGTATGTCAGGGTCACAGAATGAGAGCTATTGTACAAATATTGGTGGGGGACATGAGACAATGTTCCAATAGTGTGAGCAAAAAGGCCAGTTGTAATTCTGGGGTGTCTGAGCCTAGGAAAGTGGGGACTGATGCTGTCTGGAGGTACAGGGAGAAGGGCAGGCCTAAGACCCAACTGGAGCAGCGTCCTCTGCCCTGGTGGGCATGGATCCAGAAGTTGCTGGTGACCGTGGCACCTCTTGCTCAGGTGCAATATGGGCAGGAAGGTGCCCTGCATGGCACAGGAAGCCAGGTTATGCTTCCCTAAGATGCACTTCCTCACGACAGTGTGGACGTGCCTGCCAGACAGCCTCAGGGTGTGACACCAGACTCAGCAGCTCCAGCTTGGCCCTGGCCATGCCTCTGGCTAGGCCTGGACTGAGTGCTGGAAGGCATGCCTCAGGTTTCCTCCCACCAGGCCCTGACCTCATGGTACAGAGCACGTAGAGGCTGGTGGCTCTTCCCTGGTGGACGAGGTGTGTGTCTGTGTCCTGTCCCTCCCTGAAGGGGCACAGGAGGAGTAGGCAGGATTCCTGCTGTTCTGGGAAAGGAGGCTAATGTGTGTGGGTCCCCCAGGAAGAAGGGGTTCTGATCATCGAAGGGCTCCTGAACATTGCCTGGGGACTCAGACGACCCATTCGACTCCAGATGCAGGATGACCAGGAGCGAGTGCACCTGCCCTCCACTTCATGGACACCCCTACAGCCCAGCTGCCCCCTGTGAGTGTCCAAAGAGGGGGATGGGGCCATGGTGGGCTTCCATGACACCTTTCTATTGCTTTTATTTTAATGTAGGTTTTATTTGTTTTTATAAATGTATTAGAACATAAGATCAGATGTACTTTACTACTGAGAAAATGTTTTGATCAGAAGGACTTGGTTTCCTAACTGTCTTACATGACCCACTGCCTACCCGAAAAGGGCAGTTAGTCTGAGTTTTGATTGCTTCTGACATAGTAGCTCCTTCTCAGATGCAAACATTCGGAACTTTGCCCCCTTGAAAGATGCAGGCAAAATGATGCTGTGGAAGGATTTAGCACATTGACTCACCAGCACATTTTCAGTGTCCAGGGTCACTCAGCAAATTTTGAGCAAATTCAGAACATACAGAAAGACTTCTTGGAAATACAGCAAATGTGACTCATGTTCCCTCCCCAAGGTAAACACAGTGCCAGGCACCATCGGCAGTCACAGACAGTGGTCCATGTGTTCCCCAGCACCCTCCTCCCTGCTCCTCCCCAGTGCTACAGGCTATGTCCCATTATGCTCATTCCTTCTCCAGCCAGACACCGGCTAACCTGGCCTAGGGTCAGTCCTGCCAAGAGGCCTGGAGGTTGGACCCTCAAGGTAGTCTGTGCCCAGCTTCCCACCAGGCCCTCCCTCAGGAAGCCCAGCAAGCAGACAGCTACACAGACCAGCCTGGCTAAGCCTGGTGCCCAGGGCTGCATGGGCTGCATGCAGGGTCTGTGTGATACAACACAGCATGGCCACCTACAGCTACAGGGCCAAACTCCTGCTCCTTCCAGCAGATGCTGTGAGAAGCTTTCGCTTTTCTTTAGTTGTTTAAAATACAGTCAACTCAGCTTGTCCTGCTTCTTGCCTGTGTCCTGCTCTAAAAGATAGCTGGCCTCTTCTCTTTAACTTGAGTTACCTTCCTCTGCCAGCAGTCACCTGAGCACTGCCATTGTCTGTTTTCAGAAAGGACGCCACTCCCCAGGATGGCACTGCCAAGGAGACAAGTGCTCAGCCTATGCACAAGACTGAGAGTTCCAGAGACAGCTCAGGTAAACAGAGCTCAGGAACTGCCCAGACCCTGTCTCACCCCAAGAAGAAAGGGAGTGGGGTGGCTCCCAACCCTAGCCTCCAAGGAGCAGTTTTGTAGAACAGCCAAGAGTGACTGCATTTAACTTAGGAGCCACTCATGCTAAATGTCCATTCCATGGAGGCACTTTATATATGTTCTCATTTATTCCCTTTGTGGAAAAGGAAGTAGAGGCTTACAGAAATGTCTCAGTGTGTCAGTGGCATGCTATATAAAGGAGGAGCCTCAGCAGAGGTCACAGTACCCTTCTGTCCCTCAGCTTCCAGAACCTCCTCCTCATGTCCAAGATCTATGACCACGCACCTGTTCTCTTTCGTCCCCATCCCTCAGCATTCAGTGAAGGACCTGCACCAGGGTGCTTTGAGGACAGGGCTGGCGTCCCAAAGACCTCACTGGATGCCATGGGACACACTGTAGTGTGACACAAGTTTTGCCATCCAAGCTGTACCCCAGCCTCCAACATAAGAACAGCATTGCTGCTATGGTGTGCAGTGTTATACAGGACTCCAGGAAGCCTCACAGACCAATGGCTGCTAGGGTGGAGACAGAGCATTTTCTGTTACCACTCTCCAACCCACCATTCTCTCATCCATTTTTCTCTGCAGGGCCCTTGGAGGAGGACGAGGAGATCCCACAGCTGATGCGGACCAAGAGTGATGCCAGCTGTATGATACAGAGGAGACCCAAGTCCCGCACCCCTGGCGAGGCTCAGCGGATCCGGCGACACCGCTTTTCCATCAATGGACACTTCTACAATCACAAGGTGACATCCCTGCCTGGCCTGTCCCTGAATTCTGAAGTGGAGAACACTCACCGTCAATCCCCACTGTGACCCTTTGAGAAAACTGTTGTCATCTCCTCTAAAGGCTCTGGCGGAGAAGAAATACCCTGCCACAACCACATCACCACACCACTCCCACTCCTGACCCATGCTTTTTCTACCCACACTCACTGCCCATCCATTCTTCACTTGTGTGGATGTTTGGCAAGTAAGCTCAAGGTAGACAGTAACAGCAAATATATGTTTAATGAGGCCATTTCTATAAGGTTTCCACCCGAGCTGTATTCCATGGGAACACTGTGTATCTAGTTGTCCTCACTGGGTCAGTTGTGCCTGATAGTCGAGGTATGCCTGGGGGCACGTGTGTCTGTTCCCAGGGAACCCGGGCAGCTCCTGATTCCCAGCACCCAGCCTTTTGTGCAAGTGTACATTGTACTGACCTTAAGGAAAGATCACCTCCCCCCCATTTCATCATAAGCAAACAGAACTGTAAGAGGAGGAGGTGATTGTTACTATAAATGGAAAGAGCAGCAGTCTGGGAGAGGCTCTGTGTGGAGTATCCTGTGACAGGATGTATTCCTTGCCACCCTGAGGAATGAAAGTGGAGGCTTCCAATTTGAGTAGCTGCCTTACTTGATAGAAGAGGGGAAGTATTTAGGGTCAGAGCTGAAGGAGCAAATAGCCCAGGTCAGGCTTTCTGGGACCGTCAAATCTGCTATCGGGACACTCCGACTTTGGGATAAAAATTCATTTCTGCAAGCTGAAGGGACCTGATTTTAATCTCAGACTTCCACTCCCCACTAGGTTTGCAGTAAGTGTCAGTGAATGATAGCAGGGGTTCCTTGGCTAAGTCTGGAAAACTTCATACCTATTTGAAAATCAAGTCTTCTTGATAAAGCAATGGGGGAACCAGGTTTGAAGTTAAATAGAGTGTAATAGTACAGAATAGACATAGGACCCCATAATATGACTTACATATTTTTTAAGTCTTGCTCCAAAAGGGATTTCCTCTATAAAGTGTTAGTAGTTGAATAAATATTGCTATGCTATTTTAAGGAATTATTCAAAAGTTGTCAAAGTACATGTGGGTGAGTTTAGGCTCTTTCCAGTTCTTAAAAAAAAAAGGGTGTGGGGAGTCTTTGCCCCCCCATGACTCAAGGTAGGCTTCAGCTCTGAGACACTGACTTCTAACATCTAGTTCAATCCTAAGAGGTATGTCTGGCACATGGAACCTATTTTAGTCATTCCACAGGCGTACAATGTCTCTAACAGTCTTAACAGAAGACCTTAACAGAAATGAATGTGGCTCTCACCACAGCATTCTAGAAAGGAGCTCCTCAGCCATCCACACACTTGGACCTCAGCCTATGTCCCTAGGAACAGATTTATCTAGATAGGCAATGTGGATATGTCTTTCTAGGCAGATGTCCTACCTTCCAGGACATGAACTAGTATCTTAGGCATTTCAGACAGTTCATTCACATCTGAGTAAGAAAGGGGTTCTCAAAGAGAAACCTTATATGTAAGCCCTCTTTCTTGCCTTCCTTGACATCCATACACAGTTAGCACTCTTAGAAATTAGGGTACAGATTGAGTCACAAGCAACAATTAAAAAAAAGAGACAGAGCATTCCCAGAATCAACTTCCTAGGGTAGGTTTTTCCAGGTTTTACTTCTAAGAACTGTGTACTAGTATTCAAGCAGTCATTTTCCCAGACTTTTCTAATTTAGTGCTGATTTTATTCCCAGGCCCAGTAAAACTTTCTAGCAGTTCCCACTGCTTTGCCCCGGCTAGTTAGGCTTGAATGTAGCCTATTAGCAATAAGAAAGCAGCGTGAAGACCTTTGTTACTACTTGGAGTTAGTTGGTTTCATCTCCAGGAAAGGCTTCATATAGAAGAAACACTAACAGAGTCTTGTTGACAGACTGTCCGTTCTCTTTGAAGAATCCTGATTCCTCTGTTCCCTGTTTCTTGGAAACAGAAAGCCTAAGCCTGCTTTCTGTGTAATGCACAACCCCGAGGCTTTGGGTCCCAGATATGGAGTTGGAAGGGTCCAGTTTGAGGCTCACTGTGGATCTCAACAGACTGGAGACCAGTTGGGGATACTTAGAAAGTCTCTTAAACACCCTGAGCCTCAGCTACCTCCTCAGGAAAGCAGATGCTAGGGGAGGAATATGTAAACTTGAACTTGGTTTAGAGAGCAAGGAAAAAGGCAACTCACAGAAATGGTGCCTCCCACCACCCAGTTTCATGGCAGGCACCAGTATCTAAGAGTGAGAATGTGGGGCTACAGTCCTCTCAGAATGCTTAGTCCTGGAGCTGTCCTTTCTAGATGGAGTATTCTTTAAATCTGACCAGCTATTTTACCTCCTCAATCCTGCATTAGCTTTCTAAGAAAAGGGGACTAGTTACAGTACTTCAAAGATTTGTTGTGAGGATTAAATCATCTATTGTGTGTCAAATATCTAACAGGTTCAATGGATGGCCAGTGTTTATCATGCAGTGCCCTAGTTAATTTCATATAAAGATGCTCACCACTTAGGATGAGGTTACATCCCAATAAATCCATCATAAGTTGAAAACATAAGACAAAACTGTATCTAACACACCTAATCCACAGAACATCACAGCTCACTGCAGAGTGTCGGTTGTCTTCCCTCATGATTGTGTACTTACTGGGGTCTGTGGCTCACTGATTCTGCCCAGCATTGAGGGAGAGGGTCATACTGCATATTGGAACCCTGGGGGAAAATCCAAATCCAAGGTTTCTACTGAACGTATATTGATTTCTGACCATCACAAAGTTTAGAACAAGCTGCTTGCATGTGGTCTGACTAAGGTGCTTGGGTACGCTCAGCACTATAACATTCACCTGTGTACCCTCTGGGCCTGCCCTGAGCTGCTCTTCTGCCCTGCACAGACCTCTGTGTTCACTCCTGCTTATGGGTCCGTCACCAATGTGAGGGTCAACAGCACCATGACCACCCTGCAGGTGCTCACCCTGCTGCTGAACAAGTTCCGGGTAAGTCTAGCCATAATGGAGCAGCCTTGACCTGGGATGCTAGTGCTTTGCTATTTTGTGGGAGGAGGGCTGGAAAGTCCAGGGCAGCTGCTGGTGATTCCTGGGTAGAAGTCCAGATATGTTTCATCTGCTGAGTGGGCATCCCTGGACTTTAGGCCAAGAGAACTTTTGTATATGACTTGTGACTGTAGTCTGACTTCCTGTGACAGGTGGAAGATGGCCCCAGTGAGTTTGCACTCTACATTGTCCATGAGTCTGGGGGTAAGTGCCAACCAGCTTCCAGATCACAAAAGCAGCAAGTCTGTGTCCACACAACAAGCTTGCCATCTGTGCTTCCTCCCTGAGGGCCCTGGGCTGGCCTGCCTGATGACAGCCTGCAGTCCTCTCCTTAGAAAATCCCACACTTCCAATCCTCCTCCATGCATCTTCCTTCCTAGTCCAAACCCAGGCACACTTGCCATCACTCTAAGAATCCCAGAAAAACTGTGTGAAGCTGCCCTAACCATCCTTTTCCCAAAAAGAACTATTCTCTCACTTGGTGGGCTCAGTTAGGAGAGTGGCGAGTGCATGTCAGATGTGACCTGGATCTGCTACCACAAAATCTACAGGTCCCTCTGCAGCCCTCCTGCAGCAAAGCAGCTAAAAAGGGCTGGCCTCCCAACTTCCACATCTCCTCTGCCCACTCTGCTCCTATCCTTTTGAGCTGGGGCTTTGTTTAGTGACACTGTAAGGGAGGAAAAAGCTTTCCCCTACCCATCTTAGCTTCATTGGTTGTGTTGGAAATTAGGTTAACAAAAGACAGACTCACTAGAGAGAAACAAACAGGTTTGTTAACAGGTGCATCTCATTTAGGCAAGGGTGCTCCAGAACTTGGGTTTACGCAGTATCATAGTGAAAGAACCACTAGCTTTCAAAGAAGACAAAGAAGAAGGGCTTTAAGCATCCAGGGTGGTAGATAGTGGAATGTCCATGAATCTGGGAATCCGTGGAAGAGAAGAGTTGGTTTTAGCAACATTCACTATGTAGATTCTTCTCTCCAGGCTGACAAAGATCTATAGTTGTCTCTGGTGATTAACTTCTATCCCTCCTGATAGAGAGGGGAGGGGTCACCTTGACAAATTTTTGTCCTATTTTTAGACAAGTAAGGAGAGGACAGAGAGCTTTCCTTTTTCTGCTTCTTCTCAGTTGCCTTCAGCTTGACATAACTCTACTAAGGTGGCAGACTTGGGGTGGGCAGCATATCCAGTGAGATCTAAAAAGGTTCCCTGAACCCCTGGAACATCCATTTTGTACCCATCCTGGTATGAAGGGAGGTGATCCTAATGTCCCATGACTTTTTAAAAATTGCCTTCTATTTCAGAGCGGACCAAACTAAAGGATTGTGAGTACCCACTGATTTCCAGAATCCTGCATGGGCCCTGTGAGAAAATCGTCAAGATCTTCTTGATGGAAGCTGACCTGGGCGAGGAAGTCCCTCATGACGTGAGTTGGGCTGAGGCTGGGGGCCTGCTCCTTAGGGAAAGGCTGGAGGCCACATGGGATCTCCAGAGGGCTCTGAAGGTGACCTTGGCCAGAGCCATCTTGGGTGATGTCTCCTGGGGCACCATACCATCCTGAAGGACTCCAGCCCTCTGTCCTCCTGTGTCTACCAGCTCCATAGCTGGCTTAGGGGAAAGAAGAACTGGAGCTGAGAAAACCATGGCCCTGTTCTTTTCCTCTCAAGCAAGAAAAACCTTTTCTCCATTGGAGCATCATTCGTTGTCATTACATTAAAGACCACACAAGGGCTACTTAACTAGGGTCTTGGCAAAGCAGAGAGGTTTCTGAATCTCACTGACAGCCTAAATCTTGGTGAGAAAATGAGTACATTGTTTCCAAACTGCGCAGAAGAGACCTTAGGAATTGGACCCAAAGTAGAAGACCTGGTGGCCCCCACCCCCCTCAGCCTCTTCACAAAGCTGGCATGGCTTCGTCCCATGGTCAAACAATGGCGTTCCCACCACTCCAACCCCACCTCTGAGAACACCGAGTGTGACAATGAAACAGTATTGAATGCTTTTCCTAATATTCAGCTCAGTATTTCCTCCAGGGATAACAGTTGCCTTTGAGACACACACACAAAAAGGCTCCCATTCTCCCATGGCACACAGCAGTGCTGGGGGTAGGGTGGGAAGAGGAACAGTTTCTGAGAATACAGGACGTTGACTGGCTTGACCACTATGGAAGCCATAAGGAAAGCAAAACACATTGTGGGCTTCTCATTTAAAGCACACTAAAATGTTCTTGGATTTTCTAGGTCGCCCAGTACATTAAGTTTGAAATGCCGGTGCTGGACAGTTTTGTTGAAAAATTAAAAGAAGAGGAGGAAAGAGAAATAATCAAACTGACTATGAAGTAAGCAACACTTAATCAGCCAGTCATGAGTCCTGACCCCCAGGACACATCTTTAGGGGACACCTGTGCTGGGAGGGCAGGTGTCTTCCTCTGTAGGTTTCAGGTGTCCTTGCAGTTTGGGAAGCCTGCTAAGCCTGGCTCCCAGCATTGCCCTCTGGTCCCTGCTTTAGTACTGACAGCAAGCTGGGGTGACAGCCTGCCAAAATGGAGGGAATGCCAGTCAGTGTCAGCATCCTCACTGGGGATGCACAGGCAAAGACAGAAGTGCAGCAGCCAGTGGGTCACATTCTGCAGTTCTGTTAGTTAGTGATCCAACTCTGGAAAAGAAACCATAGAGAAAGCTTGATAAAGGCAGCCTCAGTATGGTCCAAGGCCTTTCATTCTAGCAGGAATTCTGAGCCCACCAGAAAGCTGTGCTGATGGGAACTCCCAGATTCAGCTGCTATTTTCAAAAGACCAGTTCATGGGAAAGGGGAGCTGTGTTAGGCTCTGACTGTGTGAGAATAGACAGGCTATAGGTCCCAAAGATCTTCTGTATCTCAGTAAGGTGAAGCATGGAGCAGGACGTGTGAAGGGCATTCGCCAGAGCCCAGGGATGCAAAGGACAGGCTTCTCACTGCAAGAGCCTGAGGGTGGGGACTGGCTTAGATTCTGGCTTCTGACTAAATAACCCTTGGAAAGCCACATTCTACACACACACACACACACACACACACACACACACACACACACACATACACACACAAACCACACCACACACAGGAGCTTCCACCTCTGCAGACAGTCCCCATTCAGTGATTCAACCAGAGGGAACCATCCACTGTGCCATTGGTCATGTCATTGTAGGGTTTTAGAGCTGGAAAAGACCCAAGGATCACCTGGTCAGTTTATTTGGTGTGCAGAGAGAAAACTGAGACCCAAGATGAGGAAGGGGGAAGCACAGGTTATTTATAGAGCCTGGGCCAGAATACTGGTTTCCTGATCCCTTCTCTGCCGTCCTGTCTACTCCAGCACACTCCTGTGTGTCCTGGAGAGTTTGCAGTAGAATCAACACATTCTGCTTTGAAGTTCTACACAGTCTGTAGCCCTGCTGACTAGGGGTCAGCAGGCCAGGCTCTTCCCCCTTCTTAGCTGGGTGGCGGCTGCCAATCATTTGGGAGCAGTGGTCTACCAGACCAGGCATCCATGTACTTCCCCTCAACCCTGGCTCCCGTGCCCATGTCACTGCAGACTTAGTTAGTCCCCTTGTCTGTGTCTCCCTCCAGGTTCCAAGCCCTGCGTCTGACGATGCTACAGCGCCTGGAGCAGCTAATAGATGCCAAGTAGACAGCCAGCACTTGCCTCCTCAATGTCCCCACCAGCAACTGCACATGGAGTCCCAGTAACCCAGCACAGACTGCTCAGTGATCAATGGCCACTCTCATTGATGCAAGAATCCTACACCTGTGCTTCTAAATTGTCTGAAGCCTAAGTACCACCCACATCCCCATCCTTGGATCCATGGTGAGCACACATAGGAAGCAGAGCCAGGCCTAAGGAGCCAGGAAGTTGTTGGCTGGGATCTGTGTGTGAGGCTGGCCTGGGCATTGAGTGGCCCTGAAACTGTGGCACCAGACACATTATATGGCTGGATAACATGACCAGTCCTGTTCACACACCTCTGCTTCTCAGAGAGCAGTATTTGACCTATCCCCTGGGGTGTAGGCTTCATCTGCTCACCCTGTGCCTGGCCCAGAGCCCCTGCACAGCCACAAGCCCATGTCTTCATCATCCATGTGAACCACATGATCCCTGTCCACCCATCTGTTATGCTGCCACTCAGGAACTCTGCTGGAGAGAGCAGAGGCTGCCAGCAGTGGTGTGACGTGCCCTGTTCCCAGCCATCATTAACTTCACCATGGCATCCCTGACCTCCAAATCTCCTTTCATAGCCTAGCACACCTGTGTAGAGGTTAGATCAGGATTAAGACCACCACCTCACCTGCTCTCTGCAGAAGTCAATCTTAACTTCTAAGCAAACCCCAAAGAAAATCATAAAGGAGCTGACTGCAAGAACCACTTCAGCTTAACCAGTTGGGGAGGTGGTCCACATGCTAATAAGGGACACTGCCTGCCTCAGGAAGATAGTGCTTAGGCCTCGTCACCACTGTCCTGTGGACACCTGGTGCCTCTTGCCTTCTTTGGGCTTGAGCGCCTCTCCTTCAGTGGGCCGGAGTGATTCTCAATTCTCCCCATCAAAGTGGGGCAATGAGGAGAAAGGCTGTTTGGGGACAAAGGGCTTTGAATTCCCTGGGGCCAGATAATGACCAATTTTGTTTGTTGACTGATGGAGAATTTCTGGAATGAGAAAGACTGCAAAACTATGCAACAGTTTACATCAGTCATGTGGATGTTTGTCTAAAACAGAGCCGTTTGCTCTGTAGACCAAATTCTTTTCCTGCTAGGGTCTGTGGACAGAAGATTTAAAAGAAAGAGCCATAAAGGCTTGCAAAGGTTGGGGAGATTCCATCTGCAGTGCACATACAAGCTTCTCATGGAACAGCCATGCAGTATGCAGCCACCCATCAGGGCAGACTGAGACACATGGATGTCAGGGGAGGCCTGGCTGTAGTTCTCTTGACACTTCTCCCCTTTGGCAGTATAATTTCTTGGGTGCTCAATAAAGGCGGATTGTATTAAACTGAAGAAATGAGAGCCAAGCTTTCCTTTTCTTTTTCCTTCTGCATGTCCACCCTGATCCCCCAGCCATACCCCTACTCTAATCTCAGAAACTTGTACTAAACAGTATATGGGGCCGTGGTTAGCAGAAGAACCATGGCCCACTGCCCTTCACTTCTATACAGAGCCTGGGGATTAGTGCAGGACCTGAGGCAAGACTGCTGTAGAGCACTGAGGCCTACTAGTGACCTGAGCAGTAGTTACCCTGAATTTCAGAATGTTAGCATCAGATGGGCCTCAGGAACCTTCCCAGGCAGGGGCTTAGGAGAGGGTCGAAAACAAATCAAGCAGGGGCTCTCAGGTAATTTTATTCCTGGTATTTACATCCTCAGATTTAGGACAACTGTCTGTCCATTGTTCAGAAGCAAATGAGTAACTATCTTATGCCAGGCCTGTGCTTAGCCCTGGAGGCACAAAGATAAAGTCATGTTACTTCCTCATCAGGACAAGTAAACCAGATACCTGGAGTGTCAGGAGACCAGTCTGACCAGCCAAGCAGGGAACCAGCTAAGCTCCTAGGAAGGAGGCCTAAGGCATAGCCACTATGGCTAAGGCAGGGTGTGTAGCACTACAGGTCAGGAGACAGAGATACTGCCAGCCCAGAAGCAGAACAGGGGCCCAGCACTCAGGAAGCCTGTGACAGCATCAGCCTGTTTGATTGGTTGGTTTTTGCCATTGTTAAAATATTATTTAAGGCCTTTTCAGGTGTCACTTTTGACATAGACATTATCAAAACTAATTTCTGAATATCATAGCTAGGAAAAATCTCTAGGAAAGTGCACATGAAAGGGGAAAATGTCCTTTTTCACAAGCCTCTGAGAGGTTCACAAATCTTCATCAACACTATATTTGCTTTTCAGAGGTGATTAACAGTCCTGCTAAATCAGGGACTCACACACCAGGATTTCAGCTTCAGAAGTGGTGGCTTCCTGCTGCCTTACATGGTTCACAGTATTTCTCATGCTTCTGGGATCTCAGGCAGTAAAGGTATCCAAAGATAAAGTGCATCCCTGCCAGGAAGTGCTGTCTTCTAACAGGACTGTCATCCCAGCCCAGCCCTCAGGGACCAGCGAGAATAACAAACAGTCCAGATGAAATCAGTGCAAAAGGACTGGACTTGGGAAAAACAGGGTTGTTTGTCCAGGACAAATGACCAGAAGGGATCAAAAAACAGCTTGTTTTTCTGGAGTAATAACCACATGCTACCTGCCTACAGTGTTTGCCAGAAAATGGATTAAAGACCTCGCTGTCAAAATAGAGCTACTCACCCAGGATGCATCTGGCCCCTTAGTCCCAGGGAAACGAGGCCAAAGGTTTATGTGGTCTGGCCAGGTGATTTATGGAGGTACAGGGACTATGATAAGTGTGCCCTGGTGTGGCCACAGGTGCCCTGCAGCTGCAAAGGAGGCAGTGGGATGTCCTTGTTAGGTCGGTGGTAAGCAGCAGCAGCTCTCTGTCCCTCATTCCCTCGGTAGTGATCAGACAGGAAGCTGGGTTGATCTGGGCCAAGCAGCACCAAGTGTGAAAACAGCCAGATGTATGTACTATGTTTAGGGTCCAGGAGGTGCGATTGTCTAGAAGTAAGCCAGCTGTCGACGTGCCCAGGGACTCACAGCACAGCATGCAGGGTGGGGCTTTAAACAGGGAAGTTTTCTGCAGGTTTAGGAGTGGGAATTCCCAGGGTTTCCTTTCCTGGAAAGCCCAAAGGAAACAAAGCAATATCCATTGTTCAGTGGCTGAGGGATCTGCTTTGCAGGAGAGGGACCACTCTTGTTCTTATACTTGGGCTACATGTGATGGCCTTGTCACACTTGGGTTTTGGGTTAGTGGTGCCAAATACAGACCCAAAGCAGCACCTGTTGAGATGGTGCTTGTCTGTAGAGTGTGTGCTTGTGTGTGTGTGTGTGTGTGTGTGTGAAAGAGAGAGAGAGAAACATAGTAAAAGGAAGCTGTGTCCTAAGGATGCTTCCCAGCCAGAAGATTCTTCTTACTAGAATGAACCCTTCAAATACCATCACATTGAAGAGCACAGTGGCCCCTGCTGGGTAGTTTCCAGCTGCTGAGGGTCTGGCCTTTCTCAGTTCAGATTTCCAAGAAAGAAGCACAGTTAGATGCTGAGGCTTTTGTATCCCCTATTGGCTTCCCCCTTCTCCTCTGTTTTGTAATATCATGTGCAACCATGATTCTTTAATTTGCTTAAAAATAAACTGGAATCCCAGACTCTGACTCCAAAGCCTGGCTCTGTCATTTATAAATTGTGACATTGGGTGTTTAGAAAAACCAGGTTCTAATCTCATGTCATGTACTAGCTGCCAAAGAAGTGCCATGAGACTGAAAAAAGGCACAGACATCCCAGGGTTACACAAAGTACAGTTCACTACAGACTTACATACAGGAATGTGTCCTGGGCAGCAGCAAAACACAAAGACCCCACACCCCAAAGCAGGAGGAAGGCTAGGCAAAGGTGGCTGCAGCCAACCAGAATGTACCAGGTATTTCTCAAAAACTATTAAAATGTCCAATTAAGAAACAATCTGGGGTGCCTGGTCAGGCAAGGTGGTACACACCTATAATCCCAGCTGTATGGGAGGCGTAGGCAGAAGGACAGTGGTTGAGGCCAGCCTGAGTATAAAGCGCCATCTGAAAAACCAACTAAAGCAAACAGGGCTTGGGCCAAGCTCAAGTGGTAGAGTTCCTAGTAAGTGTGAGACCCTGAGTGCAAACCCCAGAACCACAAAAAGAGAAAAAGGGAAAAACAGTCTGGGTGTCAGTGACCAACATGACAAGCTCAGGTGACTGTCTTTGTTTTGCTCATCTAACTGCTTTGCTTATCCTCTAGGGCTTGTGATTCGTACTAGTATCAGCTTGCAGGCAAAATAGTAGTGGTCATGTCAAGCTGGATTCTACATTAGGCAAGTTACTTGCCCCAGTTTCTCATCAGTAAAATGGGAATAATAATGGTTATTAATAATAGTAATAATAACCATTATTAATAATGGGATTAAAAACATTTCCCAATTGTTACTGCAGTAACACCACCAGAAACCTTAGCACTACAAGAGCATTTACTTCTCTCAAATGCTACATGGGACTGCAGTGGCTATAGTCTACTTGTCTTCTTGTCCTGAGTCCTAGGTTAAAGGAGCACTCCCTCCTGGGGACATGCCATTCTTGAGGCAGAGGGAAAGAGCTGAGTACTGGCAAAAACAGAAGTCTTAAAGCTCCTTCGGAGCTGTGGTGTGCCTCATGTCCGCTTACAGGCAGTTGGCCAATGTAGATCCCATAGGAAAGTTCTACATCAGTGGGATCAGTGGGTGGATCACTCCCTGGGGCACTGAGAGCCACACCACAAGAATCAGGAATATAAAATCAGGGGAGGGTGGCCCAGCTGGGCAGGAACAATCACACTGTGGGAATAGTAAATGCAGTACAAGAGCTTCAAACAGTGCCTGGCACACAGTAAACATTCCTTAAGTATTATATACTATTACACTAATAAACTGAGTGCATAGTCCCTGTCTGTTTGCTATCCTCTTTTTTCTTTTTTCCTTTGGTCCCCCATGTCTTTTCTGCTGCTAGCCTCTCTCCATCCTCACCTCCTATTTCATCTACTCTTGGCCTCTACGCTCCTTTATCTCCTGCCTTTTGTCTCTCTCTTTTTAAAAATTCATCATTTTTTACCTCATTCTCTAATCTGCATACTTCTAGGCCTTCTGTGGCTGGCTGAGTTGGATTACCCCCTGTTCCTAGACCTCAAAACAACTCAGCCAGCCACAGAAGGCCTAGAAGTACGCACACATGGAAAGAGTTTTAACTCATGACTATCTTAGTAATAAAATGTTTTTATATTACTTTCAGGTACACAGAACACAGTCCCAGCAGATCACTTGTGCTCTTGGAACTTTTCCTAAACCATTGCTGAAATCTCTGGCTAATGCTTCTTATCCCCAACCCCTCCAACCACCGGCTCAACAGCTTGCAATAATAATAATAATAACAATAATTAAGTGACTCACATTTCTAATGTGTTCTGCATTGTGCCAAGTGCCTTACGTTAGCTCATTTAATCGTTACTACGGTCCAGATAGTATCCAAATGACTGAATTGACCTTCACGGTGCAGACCTCATGGAGCTTCATGCTGTGACATCTGTGGAGGCAGCTACCACAGAGCAGAAAGCTCCAGCTTGAGACCCTGTCTCTGGTGGCATGTCTCTCTTGCCTGGCATCCCTGCATTATGAGACTTCAGTAAAGATGACCACCATATGCAAAAGCATTTCATAAACAAAGAAGCATCTTATAAATTCATTCATGCAACAAATATTTACTGCTACCTGCTAAGCACCACTCTTAGCGTTGCAGACACAACAAAGAACAAAAAAGACACATCATGACGGGTTTTGTGTGCCACTGTAAGGTCTGACTTTTACTCTAATGACATGGGAAACCTTTGGAGATTTTTGAACACATGAATGACATGATCTGACTTAGGTTTTAAGAGGACCATTCTATGCTGTGAAAGGAGATGAATCAAGAAGCCAATGCAAACACCAGACAGGAGGTGACTGTGACTTGGTGGTTATAGCAGTGGAAGCATTGAAAGTGACTTGATTCTGACTATATCTTGAAGATAAATCCAACGGAATTTGTGGATGGATTGGATGTTATTTTGGGGCAAAAAAAAAAGGAAGAAGAAACAACGATGAATCAAGGTTTTTGGCGTGAGCAACTGAAAGGATGGGGTCGCCATCAATTGCCAGGATGAAGACCATTAAGGAACAGGCTTGGCCACCGCACATGCAAATGGGGCTCTGGCTGGACAGGTCTGGAGGATCAGTCTGGAGTTACCAGCGAGGAGACCCTCAACACAGAGGATGGGAGCTGAAAGCATGGGACTGGAGGGGCTCCAGGGGCCCTGAGGCCGGGATAGCTGACGAGGAGCCTGTAAGGGAGCAGAAGCGAGAGAACTCATTAGCAGAGAGAGACAGGCGGGGTGTGTTCAAAACCAAAAGACGTGGGCTGGCCCAGAACGTAAAGGTGATCCACGTAGAGAGTGAACTTGGGCACATTTCTTCCCCAGGCCTCGGTTTCCTTTCCTGTCAACTGAGTGCGCTCATTCGCACGGTGCGGGAGCGTTTGGTGCTGAGGGACTCGCGGGAAGTGCCGGGAAAGGCTCGGCGGTCCCCACGTTTCTCTGGACCCCAGAGACTCAGCATCTGCGTTCAGAGCGCAGCGTCCGGGGGACGGTTTCGAAGGCCTGGCACCGGCCACCAGCAGAGCCCAGCGCCTAGGCCGCCCCTCGCCCACAGAGGGAGGCGGCCGCGGGCCTCGGGGTCTCGCGACGCCTTCCGGGCGCTGGGAGAAACGAACAAAACCCGCTCGGGTGGGCGCGCGACCATAGAGGGTCGCTCCGCCACGTTCCTAGAGCGGCCGCGGCGGCGCCGGCGGGCGGCCCGCACTTCCGGCGCGGGAGAGGCGCGAGGCGAGGCGGGCGGCGGCCGGGGGCCGCGGTGAGTGGGCCCGCGGTGCGGGGCGCGGGGCGCGGGGCCCCGGGCGGGCGGGCGGTTGGGCGGGTCCTCGGGGCCCTCGGGCCAAGCTGGCCGCCGCGGGGACACGCCGATCCGGGCGGCCGCGGGGCGGGCTCCGGCGGGACGGGACGGGGCGGGGCCGGGGTCCGAGCGCGGCGGGCGGAGGCCTGGGGAAGGGAGAGGCCTGAACCCGGTTCCCTACCGAACTGGGGGGGCGGAGAGCGGGCCGCGGGCCCCGAGCTCTGCTGCGCCCGTGGTGTGGCGCGGCGACAGGCCGCATGCATTGTGCCGGGCATGCCTGCCCACCTCTGACCCCCGGTGACGTTGCCGCCCATTGTCACCCCGCTTCACGGATGAGGGAACCGGGGCGCGCCGCGGCCAGCCGGGCTCGCGGGACAGGCGTCCGTACCTGCCGAGCCCGGCTTGGCCGTGCAGAGAGGCGGCCGCGACCTCGCTTCCGCCGCCAGGGCTGGTGACCCGGCCCGGTGACAACCTGCAGTGCGCCTGCCTTCCCTAGCTTAAAGCGGCGGTGACTGCAGAAGCTAAGCCGCCGTGAGAATGAAAGACCTGGGCCAGAATTAAGAGTGCGCCGGTTCTGGCCCTGGCTCCCCGTTTCTATGACTTCCTCATCCCTAGGTAGATTTGATGATCTCTGAGTTTCCGACCAGATCTGACTTCTGCAGTATTAAAAATGGCATGTGCTTTTAAAAAGAATGTAAAATTACCACCATTATAGCTTTTTTTTTTTTTTTGCACCTTACACAGTGTCTCCTGTGTAGCAGGTGTTCTGTAAATACTTGAAAAAGTTAAGGAATGGATAGTGCTCTCTGTAATTTTATGTGATAGGAAGTGTGTTCTTTCTGATACTGACCATAATTACAGCATATATAAATATTAAATATCTACAAAAAGTCCTGGGTACTATTAGACCTGGTGTCTCCATTATGCAAGATGAAAGAAAGACAGAAAAATGTGTTTTCATTTACTTCCTAATATGCTTGATGCACAGAAACCCAGGACAGTTGTTTCTCTTTTAAAGTCTACTTGCAGACACAAGATACAGAAAATAGTTCCAACAATTTTATTGCCCTTGCAGTCCCAACTTTTCCCATTTTGCCACCTATTTGGAGTTTGTGGGGTTTTGGTTTGTTTGTTTGGGTTATTTTAAATAGTCCAGAGGCAACCTTACAAGTAAATAAACACATTTATTTTTGAAAACTAATTTTGCAACATTTGGGTATTTTTAAAATTCTATTTTATTTTTGCATCAAAATTACTTTCTCAGCCCGGCATGGTGGCCACACTTGTACTGCCAGCATTCTGGAGGCTAAGGCAGGAAGATCACAAGTTTGAGGCTAGCCTGGTCTGCAAGACCCTGTCTCAAAATACTAAAACCAAACAAAAGCAAGTGAACAAACTAAGAAATCCACTTTTGTCACCCTTCTCCTTTTCTTCTGTTCTACTACCATGCTTTTTCTACGAAGTTTCATTCCACTGTTTTTCTACTTAATTTTATTCCACCATCTGACAAAAATTCTGTTGAAGGTTTTCTTTCTCTGTCTAAAAACAATCCTCTTTCTTGGATCATTAGACTCTAGAAAAGGTAATAATAGGCATCTCTTCAGTAAGATTTTTCTCATTAAACTTAGGATTCCTACTTTCTAAATAGTTCATACTATATAAAGCTGAGTTGTAGTCTGCAGGTGTGGAAATGGAATGGCCAAACAAGTAAGAATAAACAGGCATATATCATCAAGTAGTGTGAGTTCCATTTCCTTCAAGTTTGGACACCTTAATTATTCACTACTAATTGAGAAATTTTAATGTTATTCTATTACACAAATGTCGATTGTCTTTTAGAGTTATTTTTTTCTATTACCATTAAGATTGTATCCTTTTTAGTCCTTCAAAATAATGTACTCATTTAGTAATGCCTAACAAATTTATATTTTACCTCATTGCTTTTTTTTCTGTCGCAACAAAAATTTTAAAAGTAAATTCGGCCAAAAATTGGTAATATATATTAAGTTTAACCTCTGGAATTAGAATTACGTTGCAAGTATTCTTCCCCAGAATTACTTTTGTTGACATTCGTAGTAAATACATTGTTAAATTTAAGTATGAGTGTAATTTTTGATGCGTTGAAGAGGTATTACATTTGAATAATTAATGTCTTCTATAATTTGTTGGTTTTTTTAATATATAGAAAATTCTGAGCTGTGTCGCTCTATCAAATGAGATCTTCGTTCAGAAGAAGACAGTAGAGTCTCCAACAAATAAGTTTGGCTGTTCACCATGAGGTTAGCAAAGCCGAAAGGAGGAATTTCTCGAAGTTCAAGCCAAGGAAAAGGCTATGAAAACAAGCGCAAAACAGTCTGCCAGCGGCAGAAGTGGGGAATGACCATTCGATTCGACACAGGCTTGAGTAGACTTAGAAGAAGCTTAGATGAGAAGCCCTATAAATGCACTAAATGTGAAAAGAGTTTCAGCCAGAGTTCAACTCTTTTTCAGCACCAGAAGATCCATACTGGAAAGAAATCCCATAAATGTGCTGATTGTGGGAAAAGTTTCTTTCAGAGTTCTAATCTCATACAACATCGGCGGATCCATACTGGTGAAAAGCCCTACACGTGTGATGAGTGTGGAGAAAGGTTTAAACAGAGCTCAAATCTCATTCAGCACCAGAGAATTCATACTGGAGAAAAGCCCTACCAGTGTGATGAATGTGGCCGTTGTTTCAGCCAGAGTTCCCACCTTATTCAGCATCAGAGAACCCACACTGGGGAGAAGCCCTACCAGTGCAGTGAATGCGACAAATGCTTCAGCCAGAGCTCTCATCTGAGGCAGCACATGAAGGTGCACAAGGAAGAGAAGCCCCGTAAATCCCGGGGTAAAAATACCAGGGCAAAGACTCACTTGGTGTCCTCTTGGAAAGCTGGTACTGGAAGGAAGTCAGTGGCTGGTCTCCGCCAAGTGAAGGGTACTGCTTCAGCCCTCTTTAAGAAAAAAAAATGAAAGGTAAAGATGAAAGCTGTCCCTTTTAGAATTGGGTATGCTTTATAGTAGAGCACTTAGATACTGATCCCTCTGTTGCATGGAAACTTTGGGAGTTGAATGACATTAGTGGGCTGAAACTACAGAAGTCCAGCTACCCTCATTTCTTTTTTATATGACATGGAGCACAAGGAACTGAAACTGTTTTGAGAGAATATAGGATCCTTGACCTCCGGTTGAAATTGCTTCCTGCATCATTTTGATAAAAAGCATAATGTTTTCATGACTCACTTGTAAAAGTGCAGACATGTCAATAATTACTCAGTTTAGGACTTTCTGTAGAAGGAATAATTAAAAGCAAGGAATTAATTTCATTAGTTTGAGGTTCTGCAACAGACTAGGAGATTTTGTTTGTAATGTTTTGTATGATAACCATTAGTTTATAAGTGTGACTCAAAATTCAACATAATGAAATGTATTCACATTCACAGATTTTTAATCAAGGCCCATCTTGTATTAGATTGTTTTTGTTTCTTCCCTTCTACTTATGGACAGTTATAATTAAAGGAGCAAGAAGACCTATTTTTCATCACATTCTTAATAAGCAATCCTAAGGAATCCAAAGTGAGAACCGAATTAGATCACAAGACTCCGATTCCTGTCAATACCATTCTTTGTTATAGGGTAACTGACATGTCAACTGCTTTCTGAAAATTGGTATGGATTTATTTTGATCCATGCCCATGGCCTCTTGGCATTAACTTTTCTCTGACAAACTAAGCCAGCCTTTCAGACAGGAATAGATATCATGTTTTACCAAAAGAATCACAGCTTGCTTCTGGATTTTAAAAAAATCTACAATTTACAGGCCTCTTTGCCTTCAAGATGCAGAGCTTTTGGTAACACTGGTTATCTTAGACAAATGTTTTATCTACAGCAAAAGTCATTTAATATGTCAATACATTGTAGGTCCTTTGCAATTTAACTTTTTCTACATTATATGAATTCCTTAAGAAGGGTAACAAACATGTTTCTTAATTTCCATCAGAACAATGCCAAGACTGGCGCTCCTGGTGGTGCACACTGGTATTCACCTCCTTAGGAGACCATGGTACAAAGATCATGATCCTCGGCCAGCCCAAGCAAAAGTTTAAGACCCTATCCGTAAAAAAACTAAAAAGCAAAAAGACTGGGTGTGGCATAAGTGGTAGAACTTTTGCAAGCACTTGCCTGGCAAGCAAAGGGCCCTGAGTTCAATTCCTAGTACCACCAAGACAAGCAAAACCAGTGCCAACTGTCACATTTCTGATCATTTAACTCAGGTTTTAATTCTATTGACTGCTAACATTCTTTTGATTTTTTTTAGTATCTTTTATAATCATGTCAGTTCCTGGTGTATTAGTAACAACAATCCTTAAAAATAAAAAATGAAATATTTTACATACTTCTACCTTCTGTTTATTTTTCTTTTAGGAAATTGTTTTTGATGATTTAGACAGCAGATCAATAAATTACAGCTTTCAGAAGAATCACTTGTTCTATCTGTGTTTATTTCCTCAAACTTGGACTTTGGCTTCCTCCCTTGCATTTGAGCACAGTGCCATAAAAGATGTTCATGTTGACAGCAGTGGCGTCCAAGAGGATATCCACAAAGTGTTTTCTAAGTATGAGGCAACTGCAGGTATCTTCTACAAAAGACCTCAATTTGACTCTATGTTACAACCAAGTTACTTTGTAGCAAGGGTGTGGCTATGAGGCCCCTTTGAGGATCTACTGTCAATCTTATTTATATTCCTTTTGTGTTTGGAATAGCATCTGGCTGGAGCCAACACCACTTAAGTTTCAAGGGTTGCATGTTCTTGATAGCAACCACAGGATCCTGCAGCAGAAAGGCCTCTATTGATGGATTTCATACTTTATATTTTTAGACTCTATAAAAGTAAAGCAAATATACTACAGATTTTAATGTCCCAATTTGACTTGATTAGCATTTCTTATTAGAGCCCTAAAACTGGAAGCAAATAAGACGAGTACATGTATGGTAGGCTGCTTTGGTGACTAAGTGGTAATGCAGCTGTAAGCTTAGGCTAGAAAAAAATCAGCTGGTTAATAAATGCTGCACCACTAGACATTAAATAACTGGTGTGAGGCTGATAGGCACAACATTGAATATAGTCTCATATAAAAATATGCTGTGCCCTCCCCCCCCGCAATGTTCTGCTGAATTACCAGCATTACTCAGATGCTTACCAAACATTGGATCCACCTATTCTTCTATGCGCTTGCACATGGGCACACACAACACACACACCCCATCCAACTCATGGCCTTCAGTATGTTAGCCAAATGCTTTACCACTGAGCCCCAGCAGACTCTCCTTTCTTAACAACTTCTGAATGTTTTATTTGAGGAAAACGGAGCTCCGAGGTGTTTTTCTTTTTTTTTTTGAAGTATTGCTGAAATTCCTTCCATCCTATAGCAATAGTAAGATGGGTTGTTAGAAGTCATTTGGCTTCCACATTCTTTTATTCATTTATTCAATCATTTAATAAATGTGGCAGAAAACAAATTGACTCAGCCAGTGTCAAGAAACTTGGCTTAGGGGTATGTAGTAAAGCAAGCATGAGATGTTACGGAAGCACGCAGGAGGAACCCCAAACTCCTAATTCTAGTTCCAAACGTGTCTACGTCTTCTGGAGGGCTGTTGAGCCAGATTACCAGGTCTCCTCAGAGCTGCCTATTCAGTAGTCTGGGCTGCAGCCAGACAACCTGCATCCCTGGCAGCTCCCAGGTGATAATTTGCTGTTCAGGACACTGTGGGAATGAATGTTGTGACAGGTTACTTGTGGTCACATAAAATGATCATATACATAATACTAAGAGACAAAGATTTGTCAGGCCCTGAAGTCAATGTTAGCTATGAATCTTGGTTAGCTAGTAGATGGCTCTAGCCAGTAACTCTTTGGACTTGTTCTGGACTGTGAATTGGAGAAGTACTTGCAGTTGGGTTGTTGAGGGAATTAAGTAATGTGAGTAGAGAGCTTAGCATGCAGCTTGGCACACAGGTTAGAATTTATTAGTTGTTGGCTTTATAGATCACTAGAGACAGGAAGCTTACAGAATCAGATACGAAATGGTCAGTGGCAAAAGCATTAGTCCCATAAATTTAAAGGTGAGTACTGTTTTATTTGGCTGAGTCAAAGAACATTGGAGGGAAAGATATCTTTAAAGGGTAAGACCATCTAAAAAGTCTAAGGGTCACGTACTTTGAATTTTTGGCTGGCAGTGGGAGAGCCTCTTCAAAGTGGAAGTACAAAGCCACAAGCACAGTATTTATTTGTAAGGAAAACAAAGTGTGCAAAGGCTCTGCATGCGTGTGTGTGTGTGTGTGTGTGTGTGTGTGTGTGTGTGTGTGACTAATTGTGTGCAGGCAACTATGCATGCATGTTTGTATGTGACTTTAGGCTGGATAGGGGAAGACAAAGACAGGTACATAATAGAATAGAAGCTGCTGCAAAGCACAGAAGAATGCTCAGGGGAGAGCTTCTAGTAGCTGCTTTTTGACACCCTAGTTTCGTATAGGAAACTATAGTTTCAGCCTTAAATGAGTGCACATGGCACTCATTTGTATTTGAGTGGTTTAATGATTGAATTAATGAATGAATGAAAAAAGTATAAATTGGCATCAAACCATTGTCAACCAAATAGCATCAGAAATCCTCATGGTCTTTAGGAACCTGGAAAGCCATTCACCTCACCCTCCCCCAAACTGGATGACTTTTGTAATGACCTGGATTCTTCTTTTATGGTCTTTTAATTATAAAGTACATACACAGAGAGTCTACATAGATTTAGAGAACTAAATGGCACTTTCAACTTTTGAATTACCCAACATTTCCCCCAGCCTTTAAAACCAAACCTGAAATATTTTAGAATCTTTTCAGTTATTAAAATGCACACATACACATGCTTTTTATATATTGATTTCCTGACCAAACAATTCAATATCCTTCAAAATTCTAAAGTCATTGAAGGTTTTGGAAGAGGTTTGAAGTTGATAATTGGAGAGACTGTAGATAGTTTGAAAGGCAGAGACCTGTTGCTATCAGTGAGAATTAAGAGGACTCAGAATAGTCCAAGAGGAAGAAATGTTTGAAGCAGATCTGGAGAAGAGGAGCAGAACAAAGAAGTAGCTGTCATGGTCACAAAGCAGGCACACATGGAGACCCTGAATTTGAGTGCCAGCAAGAGAGGAATCATGATGCCGGAGGAGGTTCCAGTCTAGCTAGAAGGATCAGGTTGTGGAGAGAAGAAGGCAAATTTATTTTAGAAAATGTCGAGATTGAGATGTTTCTAGGATTATCTGAGTGGAAACATGCAACAGGAATTTGACTATATCTGAGGTATGGAAGATGTCAAAGAGGGAAATTACTATGTGCCAGATGCTTTTATACATTAAATATACAAAATTCCACATATTGTGAGGTACCAAAACCCCACAGTTTCTATTAAACTATCAAAATACATTTTCTTAGAATTCTGGAGGCCAAAAGCCCCAGATGGAGATTACAGCAAGATTGGTTTCTGGTGAGATCTTACTGACTTGCAGGAGGCACCTCTCACTGTGTCCACACAAGGTCTTCTTCCATTCATGCAGAGAGAACTCTCTGAGGTCTTTTCCTCTGATAAGGACACCAGTCCTACTGGAGTAGAAAGGCCTTTTCTCCAAATACAGTTAGAGGTTAGAGCTTGCACATATGAATGGAGGGGTACAATTTAGTTTATAACAGATAATATTCACACTTTCTGGATAAGCAAGTGCAAGGTGCTGAGTTCAAATCCCGGTAACACACACACACACAAACTAAATAAGTAAACACTTCCACCTCCAAGGATGAAGCTTCAGATTTCAGACATCCTCTCCACCTCCCCCATTCCCTCTGCCAGATGAGGATTTCTACTGCATTTCTTCTTCTTTTTCCCTCTGGCACAGTGCTGCACTACCCTCTCCCTCTTAAGGGTTTGACAATATGTATAAAGGAGCACAAATACTAGACTGTTCTGGTTAATGGTGCTCTGGACTCATGGGAGACAAAGCCAGGCCTGTTCTGCAGATGACCCAGAGGTCTTGGATTTTCAGATTGTAGAGTGACTGTATGGGACATGGGGCTGTCTCCCTTGGAGATAAGGTATGTTCTCTGCAGAAGAAGGGAGAGCAAGTAAATTTGGTGAGCAGATAACAAGTACTTCCCCACATTCCCAATGACCCCTGCAGCTGGGTGTGAAACAAAACTAGTTCTTGCTGTTGGATTGAGCTATGCTTTTAAAATCTGCTGTGTAATTCTCCATGCTGCCAGGCCAGAGCAGAGGGGATGTAGTTCCCGAGCCCCGTGTCAACTTGCTTTGGATGTAGACTGTGAGTGAGTGTGTATTGACTTAAGCCTCAGAGATTTCAGTGAATTTCGTACTGCAGCATAACCCAAACCATCCTAACCAAACATCTTTTCTGTTGCTGTGTGTCTCTAAGTATCCAGTCCTCCCAGACATCCCCTTTAGTGGCCTGAAGAAAAAACCCTGTTCTGTGAGGATCCATAGTGGAGAAAAATTATTCCCCCATCGTTCCTCCGTTTCACCTGGAATCATGTCTCTAGTGACAAGAAATGGTAGCATTTGCTTTTTCTTGCGTGGCTGGGGACCTCCCCTTTACTCCTTATTGGGCTTTAAAGACAGCACTAAAGATTGTTTGTATTGAGGTGATGGCCTGTGACTCTGCTCTGGGTAAACGTCTAGAATGTGTTGAAACATCACTCTCGGAGTTGGAAAAGTAGTCCTGAGACAAAAAGTCTGCATGTCCCTCTACTGTGCCGAGCTTGTGTGCACAGGACCAGGGAGAGGATGATGAGTGGGTGCTCAGAGAACTTGCTACAGTGCCAATGGAATGAATGGATCTCTGTCCCCACCTGGATTCCAAATAGACCAGCCACTGGACAGCCGAGCATCTCAGTGGCAGCACGATGAACTAAAGGCCAGCGGACCGTCCTCCAACTTCCAGATACTTCACAAGGCCACAGAAGGTAATTTAGCCCTAGAGATGAGGAAGGGGCTTTAAAATAGCATTGTGATTGGGTTTGTTTTTGGTTTTTGGTTGGTTTTGTTTTGTTTTTTTGCCATCCCGGTGACTTGGGGATATCTGTTTTAATATTATTATTACTATTTATTTTTGTTTTTCAGATAGGGTCTTTCACTAACTTTGCCCAGGTTGGCCTTGAACTGCAATTCTTTTACCCCTGCCTGCCAAGTAGCTGTGACCACAACAGGGAACCACATTGCCCAGCTTATTTTTCTGAGATAGGGTCTCACTAAGATTTGCCCAGCATGGCCTATTTTAATTTTATTTAGGGAAAAAA